TCAGTATCGCCTCTATTTATTGATAGATCTGACACCACAAAACATATTTTAATGGACATCAGCTCTCTAGATTACGTCCATTATGAACGTCAGTCACCGCTCTCATAGTTGGGTGTGTAATTATTAAAGTGAGAAAATATAGAAAGAAAACATTAACTTGATTATTGCGCCTCTATTCCTCTTTGCAAGTCCAAATGGAGCCGGATTACAGGCTGCCGGGAGTAAGTCATTGCATAATATTTGAAATGCACTGCCCAATCAATCTAATTTTTGCATGGTTAAACCAATCTGGACATATCCATTACCAGCTTACTCGACTTCTCACTAGATGTCTCAACAGCTTCTCTCATACATATTGTTTTTCAATAGGGGTCTTAGCCAGTTAAGCCAGACATTGGCCAAAGAAGGCTCGCTTTTGCCCTGCAACGCGATTACCTCGAAGGCTACCAACTTTTCACATGTAATTATGGAAACGTTGAGAAAATTAAGTGAGTCTCTTGGGAGGAAAACAAACCCCCACACAAAAAATTACTGACCATATGTAATTTGGCAGAGCTTCTTCATCTTGACGGAGCAGAGTTTTTTCTTAATTGCAAACCAGATAGCGTGTCACTTCCTCATTATCCTATTGCCAGCTACACCCGATAAAAAAGAAGTCTGACTACGTTGACACATGCAGCTCACTTGCTTTTAGCAGGGCGGATCCAGGATTTTGGGTGACTGATAGACTCAAATCCTTTTGGAGATCCGGAAACCACGCCCTCCTGCTGCGGAGACACCGCCCACTATATGAGGGCAAAATTTGCATGAAACCATGTGTGTTTATGTTGCTTCGTTTATTAATAAATATTCCTCGAACATCCTTGTTTCTACGTTTACCAGGCGATGAACCAGAGAAGAGAGAGTGTGGGAACGTCAACCGCCCTCTGCTTGCCCTCTTGGACCGACAGGGGCAACGAGGTGTTTTATAAAGTTCCCTTACACAACTGGCCAATTGTTATATAATCAGAGATTTTATGAAATTCTGAATTCTCAAAACACTGTTAAAAATAAAATTCCTGTGGCCAAAACGTCTAGCCAATGTTGACATGATACGCTACAGATAATGAAATATACAAGTTACGTATGAATTTGTTAGAAGCTGAGATTATCTTTTCAAAGCCATTTATTACCTCAAGCCTGCCCCCACCCCCATCTCTGCCGCACTTGAGTTCCCTTCGTCCGCCGTCCCTTCTATTCCCTAGTAGGGTCCTTGCCTTCTGAAGATACATTACAGGGGACCATGGATGTTGAAAACGCAATAGTAACTACTGTTTGCTTTACAGGGACAGCGAGCGGAGAAATACTGGATACCATAATGTCTATTGAGTTAAAAAGGCCATTTTCAACCTGGACTATAGCTTGGCTATAGCTTCGCGCCAAAAATGATATAGTACGGGTTTCCATTGTCTTCATCCTTTTCCAGAGCAAATACCAGAACCAGACCTTATAGCTCGGAATTATCCACTGTAGCTCAAATATTGGTTTCGTATACTGTCAACAAAGAACGAAAAGCTTTGAATTCCGTCTAAGTATCTAATAACTTAGACCCTTCTGCGCTCAGTGTATATTATAATCTATCTGTAGACGGCATTGTGATAGACCACCATCTGCCAGCAGCGCCAATGCGTTTGTTAATCGCATCTTGACCTAAACCTATAACCGCTACTCGCGCTTTCAAAATGTGGAATTCCGACAAAACTCCAGACACACTAGATTGATTGCGACTATCACGCATCGGACAGCCTACAGTTGCCTCTATAAGTACTGGAATCACGCTCCTGCTTCGAGTAAAATGAACTGTCCGGTAGCGATTAACTATGCAGCCACTGAGCAATATCCAATGGCCAACTTTTCATCTTTAACGTCAGCACAAATATTGCGCTTTATTGCGAAAATGTATCTCTCGCAGTGGTATTCCATTGATTTAAAGAGCCTTGTCGCTTCGACGAGAGGCATTCTCCAGTCTATCAGTTCCCAGTAAGCATCGACAATTCTCAGCTCTGATCGGACTTAGGTTGCCATCTTTTACAAGACGCAGTTGTACCTCTTCCATGCACTCGATCACTTCAGCAACCGTCTACTCATCGCCAAAAACTACTAGATGTTACACAACGGCGCACAATTGTGCGTGTGCCTGCGCTTTGCTATGCAATTCGCCCTTGACCTTTCTGCAACAAGGCATACGAGCACAGACAGCCAACCTAACTTCACTCAACGTTCAAAAACTAGCCAGGCGTAAAGATCCAACCGGCTTTTTGATAATTCAATTAGTCGCGGCCTAAATGGCTATAAAAGTTTGTACTGTTAAATATCGCACATTTTAACTCGTTATTAGAAACAATTTGACAAATTTGACACATGATCGGATATTGTAATTACATTTACAATTCAATGACATAAACGCTTTCCTTTTATGTTTTGCGACTTGCCCAATGGTCATCGTGTTCCACTTGTTATGACAGAGAACCAAACTGTCGTCCGGTGTGCTTCCTCTGTAAGATCAATCCCTACTCCACGTGACTCACTTGGTAATAAACCAGACTGCATAATATCAGGATGGGAAAGACCAGGATACACCAATTCGGAACTTCAATACGCACCTACGTTTGAGAAGAATTTTCTCCAAACTTAATTATACGACTTTTAGCCAGATTTGGTTTTATCGTGGCATAATTTTAGCGCGCTGAATACCATTTCTTCACTATTATTTGGAAGGCTACCATGATAACTTTTAGATTTTACGAGAAATAAAGTTTGAAAAACTTGATAAGGATTGGACCGCAAAATCCGTATCCGGGGGACAACTTACCCCCTACGTCGCCAATCACGGTCAAAATCCCTATTAAGAGATCTATTTTATCTTATATGTCGTCAATAAAATCCAAATGTCCGTGGAGCACATATCATAATATGAAAAAACCTTACAATTGAACTTGAATCTCATTTTGTCTCTTCAATCCGAATTCCGAGGATCAAAAATTTTGTACAAAAGAATTGAAGAATTTTTTCAACACGAGGGACCGTACAAGCTCGAATTCAAGTGTGTATTGGAAGGACCAGGAATATGGAAAACATCCAGAGAATTGGCACCACAACACAGGAATTCGCGAAAACACCAGGATTGGAAAACACCAGGAATTTTGGAACACACGGAATTGGGGAAAAACACAGAGAATAGAGAAAACACCAGGATATGGAAACCACCGAATTGGAAAACAGCCGGAACCTTGCGAAAAATCAGGAATTTGAATAAATCCTGAAACTCTTCCCTTAAAGCAAGCTGAAAAAACAACATCTAGAAAATCAATGGGAAATTCATAATTGTTTGTTTCACCTGAACATTCACTTGCTCAAATCTTTCAGAATTTTGAAACACAGAATTATGCTACTTGGGGCCATCTAAATAGTTTTGTTTTATATCCGTAGGCAAGCTTATTAGGACGCACGTGGCGACAGTCGTTTGTTAGGTGATTTGTTATTTAAAAACAATTCATAATACATATAATGCAACGATCAAAAAAGACGAGTACAGATAATAAGCCCTGTCATTTCGTCCTTCTGTTTAGAGTGTATGCACATGCGCCACTAAACACGTACGAAGGTATTAGCAACGGAATCCTGCTCCTGCAATCTAAACATCAGAATTGACAAAAAACACCTCGCTTACACAGGTATATCAATGAGAATTGTGAATTGATGCCTTCCTATTGTTCACCGAGCTCATCAAGAAAACATGCCCAACTAGCCATAATTTACGACCACCACAAACCACAATCCCTTGCGCAGCTGTCAGGAATATAATGAATCATTTTTGCGCAGTCCAAGAAGATCAATATCAACAGTCACACTCAAAAGACCAATTTTGGAACCAGTACAGAACTAACAATCACAAAAACTCATAGCTGCAGAAATGACAAACCAGGAAACATCAATAAACAGTCAATGTCATGAATCTCAAAACTACCAACAGTACGCGTAATGCTAGAAACATATGATAGGCAATCCCCGTCAAAATATTAAAGATCGGTCACACCTAAACGTGTCTCCATCATAAAACCATATCAACAACTGGTATACAATGCATCTTAAGAGAAAGGCGTTTTTTCCCTAGACCTGGAAATTAGCCGGAGATAAACCAAGTAGTTATGGCGGGCACCATTTACAAACGAGAACAGTCAACAAACAAACAACCACATTAAAAGCTTACGCCTTCTAACCCAACGCTGAGATTCTGCATACCTTTTCAAAAGCATTTTCAACTAAAAACATTCACACACACACGACTTAAATAACACGCGCAACACACATGTAACCACTCACGCAACAGCGACAAATAAAATAAATTAGTCATACAAGTTCGCCCTGACGAGCCTAGACCACCGACACGAGATCCCAAGAGATATACCAAGCCGCCATAACTATACAAGCACTCAACGCAAAAACATGTTTTGACATTTGCCAAAAGCAACAAGATCTCAATAGAACCACTCCTCGCTAACGCCAAAAAATATCAGCTACTTCCTCTTGCCTGCTACAAAAACCTGAGAACAATAATCCCTTACGACCGCATTTCCAGAAGCCCAGACAGAGACATCACTCGCCATCAAGTTTTGAAACAGCGAGTTTACCATCAAGAGCGAATCATAGTACTCACCGTCGCCATTCAAACGTACAGATTCCCCACACGTCATCTTTGGATCAACGTTCAAACAATTTTTTTTCCCTCAGCCGAAACACACATATTGCTCCAAAAGTTTCGAAATTCTACTTACTTTTTTACAAAGACTGCAAAGGTAGTAAAAGTAATTCCTATGACATGTACACTAGTACAAGCTATAACCATGAATAGTTATACACACTATATTATATCACTCCTCACTTTAGCGTAACTGTTCTTGACACCATCTATATTTCTTATTACTGCAAATCTTCATTTTACAACAACAGTCTTTATCAAGACTTGCGATCTATGCATTTTTATAACATGATACGATGGTTATCTTCTTGAACAAGCGGGCACCTGTTTCTCCATGGCCAATAGAATATTCTTTTTACAAAACTGCTTGAAGAAATATCACTTTTCCGTTGGAAATATCACAAACTGTACATCCAATCTCAGCGTAACCCAGCAACAATCGATTACACACTGTAAGACATTAAAACAGTTGAATTATCGCATATATCCTAAAAGATGGAATGATCCATTTCCAAGGATAGAGGCCAACTTAACCTGAATGTAATGCAACGTTCCACGCCTTAACTGCAGTCCCTAAGCAACGGACTCACAGCTATGCTAACACGGCATCACGAGAGCTCCTATAAGCACCTTATAAAAATTGATAAACAGATAACTAATAACCGATGCCAACGACTATTGTAACCATCATTGTCTTCCATACCAAAGTTGTTGCCCCATTGACATATCTTCTACTTTACCACATCGTATCGTCCAATCACTCAGGCTCGCCTACATTAATCTTCCCTCCATAAGTCGCTTTCCGTAGCAACAATCTTCACCAAGACACCCGCACCCTCCATAAACACAAAGCCAATCATTGCACAATCCTTGGCCCATTGCATCCATTAACAAAGTTTCCGTCATTACAGGAACAGCATAAGCCAGGTTGGCACTTCCTCCCTCTTCCACGTTATCTCTGCTCTACAAAACACCTATGCAAAGGTTAATCTCTATTTGCGAACAACGACCCGAAAATAACTACAACCAGAGCAACTGAAATTCTTTACTTTTAGGAACGTCTGTCAATTAGCATCGCAGTCTCTTGCGAAGAGTAACAGCATGCTATCAACCTCATTACATAAAGTGCAACGGTAAGCCCTTCTACCTTCTTCATTTCACACTCCTATTCCTTTGCCTTCACTTTTAAACTCTCCTTGTTGAAAAAACGTTTTGACGACCACTCCTCATAACTAAAGATTTTTAATCTGCCAAAGCGAGGCTAAAGCTTCGTGTTCAGCATTAGCAACAATAAATTTCGATTGACCTAAGACGGCGTTACCAGATTAACCACATCCAGTTGGTATTAATTGGGACATCTAACCAAGAAAAGTTGTTTTAGACTTTGTTGCTTCGATTGTAATGTTTGACTATTTTATCCGCAGTGTTTTGCAAAAGATCCTCTTTGCTCCGATAATTCAACGGATACTTGAATACAAGACATGGTCGCCTTGCATCTGACAGTCGACAGAGTCGGCCAGAGGCTTATCTATCCGTTTGTCGACCGATAAGAGGATCATTTATCATCTAATAGGCAATGACCATCATTTTCGCTCGTCTGGCCCACTTTCAGTTTGTGCATTGCATCTTGCGTTTAATTATGCTTTTGCAGCTGCCTTGTTAAATGGTGAAATAAATTACATCGATAGACGTAATATCGTATCTTTGTACATAAAAATATATTTTATTTAATATTCCACGACCAATTTATCTATCAAGGCAACTTCTAATTTTATGAATTGATCATATCACGTTTTAGAAGAAAAATGCGAATTTGCAAGAAATAATTGTTTAAGCAATCTTATTTCAGCACTTTAAGGCACAAACACCATAATCATTCAGTTTGAGTATATTTCAGTTCCTTAATATCTATTGGACTCTAGACAAAATGTAGACTTTTGATGTTTCTGTATATCCACTACGTGAGAACCAAATACAAAAGCACAGTCTGATTTAACTAAAAAATTTCGAAGGACAATTACACATATATATTCTACTTTTTTACCTTTATGACTTTTTTCCGCCGCTTATATTACCGTCCTTTGAGAAATTTACTTTAAATTTTGTTGCATTTCTCATTATTTCTCAATCTCAGCGGCCTAGGAGCGACTTCATGAGAACCCGCAGGAATATCATTTTTCTTCCTCATTTTCAACTTCTTTTCGACAAAGCAAGTCTTATTACAACCCAAGAAGAATCTTAAGTTGAGATAGTTTTTCAAGTGTCAACCAGAATTTGTAGTTTAAAAGTTGCTTGACCTACTAACGCACGAGTTTGGTTTATGATCAAAATGGTCTTCTTGTCGCTTGTGGCTGTCCCATGCAGTTAAATAGTGCAATTACTCGAATTTAAATCTGGTTAAACTGTAATCTAATTTATTTATTGTGGTTATTTGAACTTGCCAATACACTGTTTATCCAGACGAGAAACACCTACTCCAAAAGTGCACACAGTGATCTATCTCCATAACTACGTATAACCAAAAAAGTTCAATCTGTTAATATAAGTTACTTACTACTATCATCCTTTCCTCCCTCCTCACAGCTAGATTCTGTTGTGAACAAGAACGAGAATCAAAATCAAACCACACATCATATAAACACAACAAAATCAAGAAAAACACACACCCACACCACACAAAACCATTCGAGCAAAGACACGATCTAAGTGCACTATTGGAATCGCTTTCCCATCCTCGAAAAACAACCACCACTCTGAATGGCAAAGCATTCTACAAAAACCTCACCATAAATCAAAAAAACTACGAATCACAACCGTCCTTTACTCCATCAACAAAATTCACAATCTCCGAATACAATTGGACCACAACCATATATTATAAACTAGCATCGAAGACCGCCACAAAGCGACAAGAAAACCTACATTCATCATAAACCAAAACAATGATCGTGCTAAAAGTGGCAAGCAACAACCATATGATACAAACTTAACCAAATTCATGTTCGACCATTCCTTGAAAAACATTACTCTCAAACCTTACCCAACCAAGATTCTAGTTAACCATCTGCGGACCTTGAAATAAGACTTGCTTTGTCGAAAAGGTTGAAAATGAGGAAGAAAAATTGAATACCTGCGGTTCTCATGAAGTCGCCCTCCAGGCCGCTAGAATTGAGAAAATAATGAGAAAAGCAAACAAAATTTAAAGTAAATTTTCTCAAAGACGGTTAATAATAAGACGGCGAAAAAATCAAAAAGTAAAAAAGTAGAAATATAGGTAAACCTTCAAAGTTTTTTTAAGTTAAATCAGATGTAGCTTTGATTTGGTCTCACGTATGATAACAGAACATCAAAATCTACATTTCTAATCAAATAAAAAACTGAAAAACTCACTTGAAATAGTTGTTTTCCTTTAACTGAAAAAGATTGCTTAAACAATTATTTTCTTGCAAATCGCATTTTTTCTTAAAACGTGATATGATCAATTCAAAAATAAAGTTGCCTTAGATAGAAATTGGTGGGAATATAAAAAAAATAATTTTTACTTACAAAAGATACGATATTCTCTATTCGATGTAAACTTTCACCATCTAACAAGCCACTGCAAAAGCAAAATAAACCAAACAATCACAACTGAAAGTGGACCAACGAGCAAAAATATGAGCATTCCTAATTAGATGAAAATAGATACCTCTTATCGGCACAAACGGAATAGATAGCCTCGCCGACTTCTGCGACTGCAAGCAAGGCACCATGTCTTGTATTCAAATCCGTTGAATTTATCAGCAAAAGGATACTTGGAAAAACTGCGGATAAATAGGCCAAACATTACAACAAGCAACAAAGTCTCAAACAACCGTTCATTGGTAGATGTCCCAATTAATACAACAAGGATGTGGTATAACTCTGTAACCCGTCAAGGTCCAATCGGAAATTTATTGTTGCTAATGCTGACACGAAAGCTTTAGCCTCGCCCTTGCAGATTAAAATCTCTTAGTAGAAGGTCGTCAAAAAACGTTTTTTTTAAAAGAGAGTTTAAAATGAAAGCAAAGAAATAGGGAGTTGAATGAAAAAGCTAGGAAGAGGCTTACCGTTGCACTTCATGTAATGAGGTGATACAGCTGTTAACTTCGCAAGAGACTGCGATGCTAATTGACGGACGTTCCTAAAAGTAAAGAATGTCAGTTGCCTCTGGTTGTATAACGTTTGTCGTGTTCGCATAGAGACTTAACCCTTTCAAGATGGTTTATGTAGAAGCAGATAACGGAGAGAGAAGTCAGCCTCACCTGTCCCAATGACAAACTTTGTAATCAACCAAATGGTCAATGATTGCTTGTGTATACTCTGGAAATTTGGCGACGAAAACACTAGGAGAAAAGACACCATAACAAACAAAGGGAAATAAAATATCAATGCAACAACTTTGGTATGAAACAAATGGTCACAATAATTCGTCATCTTATATTATGTTTACATTTTTATAGGTCTTATAGAGCTCGATGCCGTGTAGGCAAAGCTGTACCGTTGCCTTATGACTGCATTAAGCGTGGAACGTTGCAACATTCAGCGTTGCCACCTAAAACATTCCAGTTCTTTATATACAAAATCAATGTTTTTACTACAAACATTTTGCTTGGTTACCTGAGATTGATGTAACAGTTTGTGATATTTCCAACGGAAAAGTAATCAACAGTTGTGAGAATATCTATGCCATGAGGAAAAGTGCCCTTCAAAAAAACACGTATATTATAAAAATATATCGCAACTTTGGTAATACTTTGAAAATAAATTGCAAATTAAGTAATACTGTAAGAATATATCGCAAAGTCAGGGATTTATTGTGCATTAAATATATTTATCAATATTTACACAAGAATATTTACATCCTTTCAGCTTTAAAAAAAGTAACAAATTCATAACTTTTAGCAATATGTGTCTAGGGAAAACAAAATCGCTGCTCTACCAAAGAGACGTGTTTGGAATCTGTACGTTTGAAGGTTCACAATATACTCTCTTATAAACCCTGTTTCAAAACGAGCGATTGATTCTTTCTCTCGAATGCTGTCAGGGATATTGTTTCAGTTTTTGGCAGCAGAGAAGTAGCATATTTTTGGCAGCATATTCTAACTTTTTTGCAAATCTCTAAAATTTTCTATTCTATACTTTGAACTCTGGGATCTCTCAGCGAACTTATGACGAATTAGGTTATTTTGTCCTTTCAGATACACCGTTAATTAATCGTGTACAATTTTTTATAAAATGGCTTTGAAAAAAGCAAACGTTTGAGTAAACTAAAGCTTAATTGTTGTTGTTGTTGACGTCCGTTTTAATGCCCGCCATAACAACTGGTGTTACTCCGGCTAATTTCCAGGTCTAGGGAAAAAACCCTTTTCTTAAGATGCATTGTATACCAGTGTTAATGGTTTAGACACAAGTGTACCGCATCTTTTAATATTTTGACGGGGATCCTATCATATGTTCTACATACGCGTACTGGTTGTAGTTTGAATTCGATACAACTGTTTTTGTTTCCTGTTTTTCAATTTTCTCAGCTATTATTTCTGATTTTAGTTCTGTACTATCAAAGATTGTCTTCTGAGTGACTGTGTGATTTGAGCTCTTACGCAAAACATTATTCATTATATTCCACATTGCCAAGGGATTGTTCTGGGTGTCGTAAATTAGGCTAGTTCGGCAGTTTCTTATAAACTGAACAATAGGAAGCATCATTCACAGATCTCATTTATACCAAGCGACACTCATTCATCAGGTTTTTCAATTCTGATGTAATGCAAGGAGCAGGATTCGTTGCTACCTTTCTACGTTTTAGTGGCGCATGCACCTCTAAAAGAGACGAAATGACAGCTATTATCTACTCGCTTTTTTACGTGCATTTATGATTATAATTGTTTACAATACAAACACCAACAAACCTGTCGGCCAACGTGCTCCTGAAAAGCTGCCTACGGAAAAAACAAAACAATAATCGCACAAATTGTTTCAAAATTCGAAAGATTTGAGCAGAAATTCAGTAAACAAACAATTCTGAATTCCCATTGATTTTCTAGATGTGTTTTCAGCTTGCTTTAAGGGAAGATTCATGGATTTATCCAATTCCTGATGTTTTCCAATTCCTGGTGTTTTCCAATTCCTGGTGTTTTCCAATTCCTGGTGTTTTCCAATTCCTGGTGTTTTCCAATTCCTGGTGTTTTCCAATTCCTGGTGTTTTCCAATTCCTGGTGTTTTCCAATTCCTGGTGTTTTCCAATTCTTGGTGTTTTCCAATTCCTGGTGTCTTCCAATACACCAATTCGACTTACGGCCTCGTTTTGAAAAAATTCTTCAAATTCTTTTGTACAAAATTTTTGACCTCAGATTCGGATTGAGAGCAATGATTTTAGTCTAATTGTAAGTTTTCATTATGATATTGCTCACGATATTGATTTTATGACGACATAAAGATAAAAACTCTATAAGGGATTTGACCGTGATTGGCGACTAGGGGGGTAAAGTTTCCCCCGGAACGATTTTTGCGGTCAAATCCCTTACAAGTTTTCAAACTTTATTTCTCCGTAAAATCTAAAATACAAGCTCAAATAATATGAAAAATGGTATCCCGCCTAAAATTATGACGATAAAACCAAATCTGAGCTTAAAAAGTCGTATAATTAAGTTTGGAGAAATTTCCAAAACGAGGTCATAAGTCGAATTGGTGTATCCTGGTCTTTTCCAATCCTGATGATGCAGTCTGGTTTATTTACCAAGTGAAGTCACGTGGATGTAGGATATACTTACCGAAGCAGCACGACGACAGTTTGGTTCTCTGTCAAACAAGGACACGATGACCAGGGCACTGCAAACCATAAAGGAAAGCTATGTCATGATTTAAATTCAATTTACAATATCATGTCAAATTGTCAAATTTTCTAAAACAAAAATGTGCGATATTACAGTAAAACATTTATAGCCATTAGGCCGACAATTGAATTACAAACAAAGCCCGTTGGACTTTTACCTGGCTATTTTTGTAACGTGAGAAGTTAGTTCCTTGGGCTCGTATGCCCTTGCAAATGCCCAACATGCATAGCAAGCAGCATCACGCACATTTGCGCCTGTAAACAGTATTTTTGACGATGAGTAACTTGCTTGAAGGTAGCAGTGCAATAGAAGATACAATGCGCTTGTATACAAAATCAACCTATCCGACAGAACGAGAATTTCATGCTTACCTGAACTATAACTGACATGCCTCTCGTCGAACACAAGGGCCTTTAAAATCAATGGAACCACTGCAAGATACAATTTTCCATAAACGATATTTTGCTGACTATAAGATAAAATTTGGCATTGATAATGCTCATGCTCAATTAATCCTACCACAGTTCATTTTACTAAGCAGGAGCGGATCCAGACTATAGCAACTGTAGCTCGAGCTATAGTCAAAATCTCAGTGTCTGATTTTCGGAATTCACATTTGAAAGCAGCGGTATAGGTTATCAAATGCGATTAACAAACATGCACTGCTGGCAATGTGTCATCACAATGCCTCTCCAGATAAGATATAAAACACTGAGCGCAGAATGGTCTAATATTAAAACTTAGACGAATCAGAAGTTTCGTTCTTTGTTGACAGTAACCAACCAGAATTGAGCTACAGTGGATATTCCGAGCTATAGTCGGTCTGGGATTTGCTCTGGAAAAGGCATCGAAGACAATGAAACCCGTACTATAATTTTTGGCGCGAGCTATAGTCAAGCTATAGTCAGGTTTGAAAATGGCCTTTTAACCAATAGAATATGAGTATCCACGGTATTTCTCCGCTCTCTGCCCCCTGTAAAGCAACAGTAGACTATTGCTCGTTTTCACATCCTGGGTCCCCTGTAATGTAGCTTCAAAGGCAAGGACCTACTAGGGAATAGACAGGGACGGCGGAACGACCAAGCGGCAAGAGGGGGGGGGGGCAGGCTTGAGTAAAAAGGCTTTTGAAAGATAATTCTCAGCTTCTACAAATTCATACGTAACTGCAATTTCATTATCTGTAGGTATCTTCAACATTGGCTAACTTTCGGCACAAGGAATTATTTTACATGTTTTGAGAAGTTCAGAATTTCATACAAATCTCTCTGATTATTACAATTGGCCAGTTTCAAGGGAACTTTATTAAAAACAACCCTTGCCCCTTCTGCCAAAGGGCAACAGGGGCGGTTGTACCCCCACACCCCCTTCTCTGGCGTCCCTGGAAATAGAAAAAGGATGTTCGTAGGAATATTTATTAATACGAAGCAACTATAAACACACATGGTTTATCATTTGCCCATATAGTGGGCGTGTCCCGCAAGCAAGGAGGGCGTGGTTCCGATCCCAAAAGATTTGAGCTATAGTCACCAAAAATCCTGGATCCGCCCCTGCTAAGAAACAAGTGAGCTGCATGTGCAACGTAGTAAGACTTCTTTTTTATCGGTGTACTGGCATAGATATGAGAAGTGACAGCTACTTTGCAATTAAAGAAAAAACTCTCCCGTCAGATGAAAAGCTACTCCAAATTACATTATACAGTAAATTTGGTTCTCCCCAAACTCACTTAATTTTCCTACGTTTCCATAGTTACAGTGAAAATGTACCTTCAGGTAATCGCTCAGGCAAAAGCAAGCCTCTTTTTCCAAGTTCTGCTAACGCAAGACACCCTATGAAAAACAATATGTATTAGAAACTGTGAGACATTCTATGAGAAGCAGTAAGCTGTAATGATGTCAGAGGTTTTAACATGCAAAAATTAGATTGATTGGGCAGGCATTTCAAATAATCATCAATGACTTACCCCCGTGCCAGCCTGTATCCGGCTCCATTGGACTGCAAAGAGAATTAGAGGCATAATCAAGTTAAATGTTTTTCTTTCTTATATTTCTCACTTTTAATAATACACCAACTATGAGAGCCTGGTGACTGACGTTCATAATGGAGTATCTAGAGAGAACTGATGTCCATAATAGTTTTGTGGTGTCAGATCTATCAATAAAAGAGGCGGATACTGACTTACTTGAAAAACTCCAGAACACTCCCGATAACATCGTCAGCTAAATCTTTTGGCAATCGGCCACATATTCTTCCGATCCTGCAATCAACAAAGCTTGTGGTAAAGTATCATTACTAACTGTAGAATGCACGAATTGTTGAAAGTAAGGATATTGATTTAAGTGAAGAGTGATGAGTACTGACCCTTTTGCCGCAGACCATCGAACTACTGTGTCTTTATCTTTCAGTGCAAAAAGCATGTGCTCTGGAAAATCAAATGTCATTGGTTGATAGCTATACGAAAAGTCAATGCGTCAATGTGAGTAAGGGACTAACAGAAAATATACTAAAGCGCAATGTTGAATATACAACGCATTTGATCAAAAGCTTGCTTACGGAGGATTTGCTCAATATCTTCTGGTACCTCGTAGTTCTCCTGCAAAAGATAAGCAATAGATAAAACAGCAATTGAACAATTAATAGTCAATGCATACCCTGACTTACCTCACCTACAAACAGTAATGAAAACCAAACAAGCTGCTTAACAATTGTTGAAAACAAACCTCTTCGCAGCCTCCATCGTCATCAACACCCTGTCCTTTTCCTGAAAGCTTTAAAAAAAGTATTGAATTACTATTGCTTCAATGATTTTCAATGTAACAAAATAATAAGAAACCGATTTTAAAAATAATACCCGTTTATTTTTATTTTTGCAATAAACAAAGATACTGTGGGACATCTTTCAATAAATAAACTATTTAGAATTATCACTTTTCTAATTAATTGCATTCTTGAGTTCATGTTGTAACGAAATGGCGATCCTAATTTGCTACATATTTTGACATCTATTTACTCAAAGAGATTTTTAAAAAAAAAGCACTCACACATTGAGCATTGTTGTAGGGGTTTTGAAGATTATGAAGCAGAGATCTATTTCCTCTTTGATATCTGAAATAACAAGATCAATAATTTTCAATTGTGATATTTTCCAGCATGTTTCAAATGGCTTTAAATGACGACACTGTGGCAGACATTCTTTTGAAGGCTGAAAGAAATTAAGGTTTATATACCTCCACGGCGCTAGTCTTGGTTTCAAAAGGCAAAGGCCAAGTCGCTGTAAAAAAATGTATTATTGATAATAAATGAATAAATAATTATTACTTGTCAAAGTGATTTGAGTCCAAAAATAGTGACGTTGCAGCCTTATAAGCGCATTGTTCCATGTGCATTGTACTTGATTGAAAAACGCAGTCATTGGGTAAATGTCATTAGGTAAATGTCATTAGGTAAATGTCATTAGGTAAATGTCATTGGGTAAATGTCATTAGGTAAATGTCATTAGGTAAATGTCATTAGGTAAATGTCATTAGGTAAATGTCATTAGGTAAATGTCATTAGATAAATGTCTCTAGGTAAATGTCATTAGGTAAATGTCATTAGGTAAATGTCATTAGGTAAATGTCATTGGGTAAATGTCATTAGGTAAATGTCATTAGGTAATTAGGTGAATGATAGTCTATCATCTACAGGCCCCACTTAATAACTTAGTGTTGATCAAACACACCAAGAAACAAAGTTATAATAGCATACCTGGACAACTTTGGTGGTAAGCTTTTTCAAAAGAATGTCGAATGTGTAAGCAAATTCTTTTTCTTCTATTTTCCTAAATATGTCAACAGCTGCAAGAGAAAATAAAAAGAAGTCAAATCAATGCTATTGGCAACAATAACTACAACTTCACTTCCTCCCTTCCACAAACAATATCATTTTGCTAAATAAAGGCAACATGAATTTATTCTGTTTTAAATAATGCAGTAGCAATTCTTACCATGAACTAACAAGTCCTCTCTACTCCCGTGTTTAAAAATATAACACTGTAAAAAAAGCATAGAGTTTAAAACAGGATGAAATGAAATTGAACAGTCAAGATGCTTTGGTATTGGTAATAATCTTTACTCTTTTGTAATATATTAAACGGCGACAAAGAAAACTAGAGTCTAGAAGGATTTGTGGGTGGAATCCACCGGTAATTTTATTTTCCTTTCCATGGATATCATGGTGTAGAAGTGCACAGATGAACTGAGCGGAATACCTTTTGCCGAGCAAAAGCCTTTCTCAGTAACATGGTTTAAAAACAACTAAGATCCGTGGTGAAAAAACTTTCTTAAAGATTTTAGTTTACATTGAAATAAAATGTGAAATGTGAGCGGTTGGAACGTTCAGGGCAGGACTCAAATCCGCGACCTGGTACCTCTGTACGCAATCCAAGTCCTGCCCTGGTCGTGCCACTCGTAGCTCACATTTTCTCTCGGTACATTTTCCAAAATCTTGTTCTCCTTTAAGCTTTAAAAGTATTTCAGTGACAAAATTTGATAAGTGCTTATACCAAAATAACTCAAAATGAACCTGATACGAGTACAGATAACAAAGAAAATTCAAAGATAACGAAATTTTAAATGCAACTGATGAGGCGGGCTGGTGACTTTGTGTTTATTTTACTTTTGCTAAAGTTGCTGGCAATATGTGACATCGTTCAAGTTGCAAGTTAAATGCCCTCCACTGAGAAAATCTTCAGCTGTAGAATTTTGTATACGTACACTGTCAAGTTTTGAGTAAAATAAGGTTATTTGCTGCTCATGGCCTAGCCGTATTCTTTTCTTTCTGTAAATTGCTACAATTGTCAGAACGTACTTGTCATAATATATATATAACGAATTTTAGCAAATGACAGTCAACGCTGTTATTGATATTAGGATCTCCACACTTGACATTTTTTCGCATTGCCTTTATACAAAGCAAAAAATGCGCAGTCAGTCTAATACTACTAGCTTGACTCTACAATTTATCCAATCGTATAAATGTGATTTCACCATGCAATTTTACATAAAAAGTGGAGGATCGCCAGAAACAGCTTAAATCCTGATACAGCTTTACAGCCTGATACAAGTCTAAAAACCTTTCAAAAACAATAACTTGATGATTGATCGTCCATTCATTTCAGTGTCGCCAAGTCAACAAAAGTTTCAAGGGAAGGAAATACTTACAAGGACTGATAAACTGCCATAGACTGAATTTAAGCCTTCCATTGACGCAGCTAAAAAAGAGTCCATGTTTATGATGACGTACTATTCAAGGCCAAAAAAAGCCTAATGATAAAATCTAACAGTCTGATAAAAATAATGATTCTTAGCTATCATTTCATCTAAAGGGATTCATTCTAGATTTTCCGTTCGTCCGAAATATGCGTTCTCCCTCCAAATTTGGTTATGAAGGGAAATACTACCCGCCGTTTTAATGAAACATGTTTACGAAAATACAGCTTCTTTCGCAATTAACAGCCCAGAATTTCGGAAGGTTCGGCCAGACAGAGTCCAGAAAGGTGTCATCTTTCCTCCAGTCGATTGAGCCAAAACTTCTAAAGTCATCATTGAAAAGCAATAACAAGAAGCTTGGCGTGAGAAGAATTATCAAAACCTTTCCTAATGAGACAATTTCTAGTATGTTTCCGAATAACTTCTTCTCTTCTCCTATTCAAAAATCTCCATTGCAATGAAAACAGATTTGAGTATGTAAAACTTTCCTGAAATAGCATTAAACTTTGTAATTTTCAAATGGTGCATCTCGGTCACAAACATGAGAGTCAACATGCAGTTTTTGCTTCAGGATTAACTACATTGCTTAGAATTGCCAATGATAATCAGATCTGATCTGGTAAGGCTGCTGAAATAGTTTTGTGCCACATGTCAAATCTTAGAGAATGAGCTGAAGGCCAGCTTGAAGTGTTAGATAGACGAATTGTGCTAGCTAGTAACCCAGCAAATTGGAATCCTTCAGTTTTTCAAATGGACAAAATCTTTTTGGCAGGTATAACTCTTTATACTTTTTAAAACTTACTTACACATATTCCTCTCCAAATTGAGTTTTAAAATCTTTTTAGATGTTGCCAAAAGATACAAAGCTATTTCAACCATCAGCCCTCACCATTAAATGATTTGTTTTTTTTTTAAGAAAACCTTCTGTTTGTTCTCTACAAATTTCTGAAGAAACAACTTCATGGTATAACTTTGAAGCATTTCAAAGCTTTAAAGTAGGCATACTCTTACTATAAATACTCACTGTAATTGGCCCTCATTATGACATCAATGCACCAATGTAGAAATTCTGAAAGGTGCAACTTTCTAACATCAGGGCGTGAAAGAAATCTGAAAAGATATAAATCAAAATGATTTCGCTCAAAAATGCGGAAGCAAAAGTGCAGGCTTAAACCTTAAGCCAAAATAAAATAAGGATCGCTTTGTATCTTGCTGAAACTAATTTTTATAAAAGCACTTTCCCCTGATTCAAAGCTTCTGATAAACCAGATCAACTTGGCCAGGTCGAAAACGCGGAAAACGCGGAACACGCGGAACACGCGGAACACGCGGAAAAGTGAAATTTTGCTTTAAGCTTCTAGAATGCAATTACATAAACAAAGCAAACAGAGCTCTTTCAAGAATTGAAATGTAAGAACTTATTTTCAAAGAACTTATTAACCTTTTAAAATCAATCATATTTGCTAATTTGATGATCTAGAGGTATATAATGATTTATTGAGCCTTTGATAAGTCGATTGATTAATATGATTGATTATAAAAGGTTTTCACGTTTTCCGCGTTTTCGAATTTCACCCTCGTCCAAAATCGAAAACGCGGAAATCGGTCCCAGCAGATTTCACATGGAACTTTCCTACACAATCTTGTCTGTGCTTGATAAGAAAACAAATCGAGGACATTTCATCATTACCTTACTGGTCTAACCAATGAAAATGGTTGAAGATTTGTGCCAACGTAAGAGATGTTTAAGACAAACTGCGTTGTATTCATAACACAGTTTGAATGGCAATATTTGTGATAAACTTTATCAAAGGTTTAATAAATCATTATATACCTCTCTTGTCATCAAATTAGCAAATATGATTTGTTAATAAAGGTCTCCGTGTTTTCCACGTTTTCGGTTTTCACCTTCGTCCAAATCGAAAACATGGAAAATGTGGAATTCTCATTCCTTTGAAAAAAAGTTCTTACATTTTAATTCTTGAAAGAGCTATGTTGCTTTGTTTATGTAATTGCATTCTACAAGCTTAAGGCAAAATTTCATTTTTCGGCGTGTTCTGCATGTTCCGCGTGTTCAGCGTTTTCCGCGTTTTCGACCTGGCTGATCGACTTTTATACACTGAGAACATTGCTGTCTTCTTACAGCTATAATATCGATATTCCTCCTTCCAATAAGGTATCTTTCATGATCTGCCATTGAATGCTAATTGTATTTAACCAAAACTATGAAAAAAGCATCTTACTTGGCAAGAAGGTAAGCTGCAGCATCTCTTGATTTATCAGCAACAGAAATGAATTTCTAAAATACAGGATTCATACCTTCAAGTATTGACTATTGACATAAATAAAATGAAAAATAAATGGTTTTAAAAAGTAAAAAGAGAAATTGTTTTACTTCTATAAGACAAAATTGTAAATATACCGGTAAAACTTGGTATAAAAATACCTTGACATTGCTAAGGATGGAATCTATTATGCCGTTTCCATTTTCATTTGATGATCCATCAAATCTGACCAGGTCAAAAGGAATCATACAAATGATTGACAGCCATAGCAACAAACAATACCGTGTCTGCCATGTCTAGAAAAATGCAAATAATTTGAGCATGAACTGTAGTCAGAGAGAAATAATTCAAAAAAAGGTCTTGAAGGAAAAATTGTTCAAAATCTGAACTGGAATTATTGGAAAAATTATTGGAAAAAACATGTTGAGTAAGAACCATAATCTTTGTACCCATAATAATTTGAATAATTTCACACTTCATAAAGATTTTAATTAATTGATAAACTTAGATATGTGACACCTTCACATCTAATGCTTCTAGCTTACCTGAAATTATGAAGAACAAGTGAGGAAATTAGTTCTCAGGTTCCCATACCTGGCAAATCATAATATTAATGCTGAGAAAACTGCATTGCCTATTGCATACACCACTGGTACAAGCAGCCTGCTACAGTGACTTTTCTTCATTTACACATCCTATTCTTATATTCCCCTATACCATCAGCAGATTTTGCAATTTGAAAATTTTAGCTAAAGAGTATACTACAAATTTTAATACAATGCAAAATTACGATGGCAATACAAGCAGGCACTAACCTTAAAATCATGAATGTTCTGCTGAGATAGAGAATGCAGGACAGGTTCCATATCAGCCACCTCATGTGTGAAAAATCTTAAAACATACTTTGCTCCTCTTGTCTAGATTTCAAAGAAAATAAATCATACCCTTCAAATTAAAATGTAAAACAAAAAGTTAATTAATACAAGGCAATTTTTTCTGCATAAGTAACAGTCTACACTTAATAAACATTCTGCAAACCAATCAGTGACTTTTTTAAAATAAATAAATACCTTGCAAATCAAATAGAGGTATCTAAAGGTTTGGTGAAAGGCTTCTTCTGGGGTTTCTTTGTCTTTTACAGTGTCCAGGCAACTGCAAATTATTTCTTCTGTAAAATGTAGAGAAAACATCTGTACATTTGGTAGCAAATTAAATGAAATAGAGTAGCAAATTCATAATAAAAAGGAAACTTGCAGGCATTTTTGACAAAAAATCACATTTTAATGCAATCGCCTAAGCAGTTGGCAAAACATTTGAAAAAGTGTTTTTGGCTCAGAATCCCCTTATCAACATAACAAAAGCATTACATGAAAAGAAGGAAAAATATGGCATGAATTTAGTCTTACCTAAGTATGGATCTAGCAAATGAGGCTGCTCTTGATATTCATCTAGAATAACTGCAATAATAGAACAGATCTATATATGATACCTTATACAATACAAACTTACAAACTTCACAAGTGAAATGATGAGAAACTGAACACAAGTTAGATGAGTAACTGAACCCTTTTAGATTAAAAGTAGGCAGAATATTCGTAAAATTGTACACAGTTTTTATGTATGAATACATGTATATAAGTTTACTTCTATTCAAACATTAATCATATTCAAAAAACATTAGTAAGATTGCAAGGCATATTTTATTGAAATTGACACTCATAATGACACTCAATGAAGCACAAATTAAGAGCTACATAAAAAGCAGATAAAAATTTATTTTGAAAAAAAATAATCTTGAAACAAATATATTTTAAAATAGCTCTTGCACATTCAAAATAGCTCTAACAAAAATGATAATGTCATAACTCTATGCATTAAAAATAAAAAAAGATTTTGATATCTTTATAGATTTTGATATCGAGATATAAAGAAAAACATAGGGCAAAATTGCCTCTCATATCTTGGTCCCAAAATTTGGAACAATCTACCGTCAAAACTAAAATCTGCAAAGAACGTCAATAGTTTCAAACACAAGATCAAAGATAAATTCTTTGATGATCTACAATTTGATTATTATTACTATTTTTATTATTATTATTATTATGTGTTAGGGAAATAGTATGAGGGACAATAACTTAATAAGCAAAAAAGGCTTTTTAGATTTAGTAAGGTTTTTCAGCTCCATAGAAGGTATTTACAGATATTTCTTAGCATGTTGACTTTTTTATAGTTGAGTTGATAACATTTTTCAGAGACAGATTGAATAAATTGAACCTGGGGGCTGAGAATCATTGTTTCTAGGAGAAATTGGGAGGGCAAAGAGTCTAGTGACAGATATAAGGAAAATGCTTAAACCCTAGTTACAGACATTGGAGAAATAAAATAAAAGGTTTTCTATTCGAGAGCAAGCGTTATTTTTTCTTTAAACCATATCGGATTCGAAAAAAATAAGGATGTATCTAAGAACAGATTTGGACTCCAAATTTAAATTTTCTTAAAAAAATCAAGGCTGGGCAAAGTTTATTGCATTCTAATAATAAATAGTTTAGTCAATTGCTTCTCTCTATATCAAATTAAATGCAAAAGTACTTCTTTGTTGACATAGTACTTTTACGCAAATTAATTTTATGCTTCTTGCCCTCTTTGTCTTTTTGTCTTGTTCCTTGTTCCTGTGCAGTTAAAAATAAGGAGCTATTATGGAGGTCTTGGTACCGCAATTCGACTAATAGAGGTTCAGAAGTTAGGAACTTTAGGAACTAGGTTTTGAGTTAGGATTTTTATAAAAAGGCTTCCTTACATCTTTTTTTAGATTTATTCACAGGCAGGGGCGGATCCAGACTATAGCAACTGTAGCTCGAGCTATAGTCAAATTCTCAGTGTTTGATTTTTGAAATACAAAGTTTCCTTGCAGTCCCTTAAAATGTGTTCATGTCCACAAGTGTTTACTATCAACATTTGAAAGCAGCAGTATAGGCAAATGTGTCATCACAATGCCTCTCCAGATAAGATATAAAACACTGAGCGCAGAATGGTCTAATATTAAAACTTAGACGAATCAGAAGTTTCGTTCTTTGTTGACAGTAACCAACCAGAATTGAGCTACAGTGGATATTCCGAGCTATAGTCGGTCTGAGGATTTGCTCTAGAAAAGACATCAAAGCAATGAAACCCAACCTATGATTTTTGGCGCGAGCTATAGTGAAGCTATAGTCAGGTTTGAAAATGGCCTTTTAACCAATAGAATATGAGTATCCACGGTACTTCTCCGCTTTCTGTCCCCTGTAAAGCAATAGTGGAGTATAGCTTGTTTTCACATCCTGGGTCCCCTATAATGTAGCTTCAAAGGCAAGTACCTACTAGGGAATAGACAGGGATGGCGGAACGACCAAGCGGCAAGAGGGGAAGGCAGGCGCAAGTAAAAGGGCATTTGAAAGATAATTCTCAGCTTCTACAAATTCATACGTAACTGCAATTTTATTTCGATCTTCTGTAGGTATCTTCAACTTCCGGCATAAGGAATTATTTTACATGTTTTGAGAAGTTCAGAATTTTATATGAATCTCTCTGATTATTACAATTGGCCAGTTTCAAGGGAACTTTATTAAAAACAACCCTTGCCCCTTCTGTCAAAGGGCAACAGGGGCGGTTGTAACCCCACACCCCCTTCTCTGCCATCCCTGGAAATAGAAAAGGGATGTTCGAAGGAATATTTATGAATACGAAACAACTATAAACACACATGGTTATATCATTTGCCCATATAGTGGGCTTGTCCCACAAGCAAGGAGGGCGTGGTCCCGATCCCAAAAGATTTGAGCTATAGTCACCAAAAATCCTGGATCCTCCCCTCCACAAGGGTGACCGGTGGATAAGATATTTGGGGCTAATCCCCTCCATGGGCATCGTCACCGACTCGACACAACTCTGCAAACATAAATAACAGCCATCTACAATAGTCAACTTGCGCTGGACACCATGACACAGTGGCTGAGCCCTGAGGTTTGTTGCAATAACTCAGCAAAACTTTGTCAGGTTCTAACCCCCTCCCCGGGATTTACGGCCCTGTCGTCAATAATTCAATGGTAAAAAATAGAATTCAATGGATTTGGTTACATTAATTAATAAAAATGCAAGGTTATATCACACCAGTTAGTCTTTCCAAGTCAGATTCTAAAGCGATATCATCTCTGCATATCTTAATGACGCGATTGATTATGTCGCCGACTTCATTGTTTTCATTGAAATGTTTAATTACATGGGTAGTAGCCATTTTGTCACATTCTCCGGCAGCCACCGTTTTGTTTATAATGTGCAACAATTCCATAGCGCGGTGCATTATGGGCATAACCTGATGTTGCTGTTGTTACCACATTGAGTTGGAAACTCGCGTCAAAATGGCGTCTCCTATCAAACTGCTCTCCTACGCTTGCTGCCTTGTAATTTTTCTAAATATCCTTAACCAAGTATTAGCTGGGTGAGTGGCTTTTGTTGTGTAAACAATTTTTTTCTTTGTTTAATTTTATTTTGTGAAATTTATTAAAACACTTCATGTAGAGTTTGTCATTACAAATTAAGATCTTGACGTGTCCGTTATCCGTATATGATTTGCCAGCGTCAAAACAAAACTCAAACTCAAAATATTTTTTTGGAAACTCGCGTCAAAATGGCGTCTCAAATATAACTGCTCTCCTACGCTTGCTGCCTTGTAATTTTTCTAAATATCCTTAACCAAGTATTAGCTGGGTGAGTGGCTTTTGTTGTGTAAACAATTTTTTTCTTTGTTTAATTTTATTTTGTGAAATTTATTAAAACACTTCATGTAGAGTTTGCCATTACAAATTAAGATCTTGACGTGTCCGTTATCCGTATATGATTTGCCAGCGTCAAAACAAAACTCAAACTCAAAATATTTTTTCAGCATAAAATTAGTTACTTATAATGCAAATATATCAAATTATTTAAAATTTTAGGCTGATGAACACATGAAAAGGAATTTAGAGCAAGCTATCGAGCCATGTGTCCAGCTTCACGTGTTTTACATTATATACAATTTCAAATTTGAATAAAACCGTAATGATTATCATGATAAAATAATACTGAATGCAGTTATGAAATAATCAAGTTTAAAGATTTTACAATTTTCCCAGGAGAAAATGTTTCATCTGCTTAATAAAATGACGTTTGTTATGCATCTTTTTTAATTCTAAGGGGAAAGAGTTCCATAATTTGATACCATCGAAAGTAAGAAAGTTTTTTCAAAGTTTGTAGAGATAATTGAAAGAGAAAATCCTTGATAATAAGATCTTGTATTATACTTATGAACATTTTTTGTTTTAAAAAGCTCACCTTTGATAGAAGTTCTGCTTGTATTAACTTGAAACATCATTTTTGCTGTTTCAAGCATGTGAAGTTTATCAAAGTTAGGTATTTCTAGCTGTTTGAAAATTAGATTCACTATGTGCGGTGAAGGCCCTTTCTCAGCGTACTTCTCTTCGGCTTCTCCATTAGGTGCAATTAAAATATCAACTTAGAAGTAAAACAATTAAAAAATACTCTTTAAATTCTATGTTCATACATTTCCTGCCTTTTCAGAGTGCTTTTGGTACCAAATGTTTTAGTATTATTTCAAGAAAATTATTGAGGCTCCTTAGACCTTGAGGCCCTTGTGCAATTGGTCCCCTGTCCCTCTGACCAATTTGCCCCTTGCTAAGCTCATCAGTGTCCCTGCTTGAGATAACCATTTGTCTTTGGCCATTTATAACTTTACTTGGAAACTTTTTGGAATTTGAATAACAGCCACTGTGTAAAATTGATGTATAAAGAGAATAAGTGCACACACTCAAGAATATGGAAAATTTGGTGCACATTTAATTTCAAATGCATTCTTGCTCCTGGGTAATATCTTGTGCACGCCTGAGATCTCATTGAAAACTACCATGAAATCCAGACTGGCATTTTTATAAACTCTAAATGATGGTACAAAAATAAAATCATCCATAATAATTCATTGAATTTTTGGCACAACTGAAACCCACCACAGTTTCTTACTTAGTTTTGAAACCAAATGACTTTGACCCTGTGAAATTTAAAAAGCCAATCAAAATACTCATAGTGAGCAACAGTTGAACCAAGAGGGCAATCTCTGGCCAATCAACATTGATCTAGTAATACACCTCCTGATTTGTTCTCACTTTTTTAACCTTGACATAGACACATTGTGTAAACACAGAAAGACAGTTTTATTAACAACAAGAAAACAATTTTTATTCTAACTAAGTAAAAATGTGGAAATTAAAAAAAAATCAGAAATAGCCAACAACTGAAGATTAGACATTACTGAGTTATTTTCCCATATTTTTTTTAAAAAACTAGGCCCTAGTCTACGTTTTTACAAGAGGTACTCAAATCATGCAGATTCAAATTGTGTGGTGCACCAAGAGGGCAATGCCAATCCTTACAAAATTTTCCTTAGTTATTTCTTTGCCATTGTTCATTGCTGCTCATTATTGGCAATTCAATTGAAAGAATCTTGCTCTTGATTTTTCAAGAGCTTCCTGACATTTGTCTAGAAGTTTTTAAAAGCATTTATAAGTTCATTTGTACTAGGAATCATTCATTGCATTTTGAACTCAGTTATGAAGGCTACATTTTTCAATTTACTGTTTGCTTAATTATGAAATGTAACTTTTGGCAATTTAAACATTTTTGTGAACAATTTTATGGCGGTACATAACTTGAAAATGGCTTTGAAAAAAGAAAACATTTTACAAAATATTGGCTAAAAGTTCTTTTGTCTGACACTCCTCAGAGCATAAAATGTCAGAATAAGGGTCCGAAAGAACACGATGAAAAATCCCCCAGTTGTGGATCGAAATAGGCCAATCAGAAAAATGCAAGCACAAGACCGGTATAGTTAACCAATCAGTGCTGTGTGCTTAAAGAAAAATTACCACTGGATTCCAAGAGAGAAAACAAACTCTATCTGTCTACACAATGGCAAATTTTTTGTTTGTATATAGATCGAAAGGATTGCGCTATTTATGAGCTAAAACAAAAAAGTTATATTATTAATGAATTTACATGCCAGTGTGATTCTGGCTACGTAGGACACACAACCCAAAGATTGGGGGATAGGATAAAACAGCATGTACCTTCCACATAAGAAACCAAACTACCCCTCAAAGAGAACAGCCTCCTAGATCTTGTAGGTCTAGGAATACTGTTAAAACAAGTGATTCTGCCATCGGTCAACATCTTTTAGACAACCCAGATTGTGCAAAACTCTATAATGACAACATGTTTCGGATAATTGGCTGAGCCCGGTCTTCTTTCCATCTAGCAGTTTTGGAATTGATCTACACACACACACAAAAACCGCCATTGTGTAGACAGAAAGAATTATTTTCCTTTTTGGACTCCAGTGGTAATTTTTTCTTTATTTTCGCGGCACTGATTGGTCAACTTTACCAGTCTTGTGCTTGCCTTTTTCTGATTGGCCTATTTCCATCTACAACTAGGTACATATTTTTCATTGTGTTCTTTCGGACCCTTATTCTGATGTTTTATGCTCTGAGAAGTGTCAGGTAAAAAAGCTTTTAGCCAATATGTTGTAAAATGTTTGCTTTTTCAAAGCCATTTCAAACTTTTTTCTAAATTAATTACTTTCACATTGCTATCAGTGCCAGTCACCCGGGGGGGGCAAGGGGGGCAACTGCCACCCCCCTAATACTTTAGAGGACAATGGTCTTTTATTCCAAAACAATGGGAAATTTGACATCATCTTATTAAAATAAAAGGCTTGCCCCCCCCCCCCAATATTTGACAAAGTGTCCGTCCCTGATTGCTACCCTTAGCAACTTGAATATAGTCTAGTCTGAAAATTTTGTACTAATGTTTGCTTGAGTGGGAAAAATCAAAAATTGAAGCAAAATATGATTCAGACTAGTAATTTTCAAAAGAGCATACCATTGTCAATGAAATGAATTGCTGTTTTTGTTACAATATGTATCTGTCAGTGGTTATAGATGATATGAATGGTATCTAACAAGATGAAAAAATTGAATTTTTTATGGACATCAGTGTTTTGCAGATATTGCAGGGTTAATAATATTTTTGAAGTACCTGCACTGAAGCATTTTACTATTTGGCATAACTAGTTTGTAGCATAATGGTATAGACTAGACTCCACTTTTTTGGTAATCTCTATTAATGTGTAACATCAGTTCTAACAAGACAAATATTCATAACATAGTCCCTAACAGCAATTAGACACTTTCGTGATGTTGCAAATGTTGACTTTAGAGAAACCAAAATCCTTTATGGATTATTTTTTTTTGTTCTTACTGAACAAACTGCTACAAGCTTTAAACTTTTATTAAATCCTAAAATTCACTTTGTTGCAACATTGACAGATCCTACAATTTGCTGGATAGAGTTTGGCCTTTATGCAGGACTTCAAATTCAATTCAATGTGTACAACTTCATTTGAATATCTTGAAAAGAAAATTTTTGTTATATAATTTTTTCTATTTATTGCTGGCTCAATTCAAAATTTTTTAATTGTTTTGTTTGTCTCTTCACAGTCGAGATTTCTACAAAATCTTAGGATTGTCTAGAGATGCAACAGATAGGGAAATTAAAAAGGCATATCGAAAGCTGGCAATGAAATGGCATCCTGACAAGAATCCTGATGATCCTTCAGCTGCTGAAAAGTTTCAAGATCTAGGAGCAGCTTATGAGGTAATCAGGAAGATTGGCAACCAAATCACCTTGCCTAAAATTTACTATAACAGTGCATGATGCAGAGTACAGTACCATAAACAATATCTCTTACTGATTCTCTATCCAATCGACAGAGTATAGCGCCCTTTACCATGCCTGTCTTACATGTTTGTAGTAAATTGGTCAGTAGTGTTATTTTAAGATAAAAGAGTGATAATATAAGAAAGCAAGCTGATTAGTTGTGCAAGGTTGCTAAGCATATTGATAAAAATAATTGTTTTGCAACAATATCCCTTCAATAAAAAAAGTCAACTGGAAAAAGAAATTGGCAAGGATATCAATAAAATTTACATTTACAAGGCCATTTTAATAAAGCGCCTTGAAACTCTCTACATTCTACTTACATTTCTGTCAGTAATTTGAGAAATTATCTTATTTACTCGATTATAAACCATCCTTGTTCAAAAGTCGCCCTTGATTATTAGCTGCACCAGCAAAACCACGCAGAGATACTTTGTTTGAAATGACGGACCAAAGCTGATTAAAACCTGTTATGTGCATAAACCAAAAAATTAAACATTAGAAGTTCAACCAAGAACAATACCGTCTAGATGACGGATCATCAATATTGTCCAGAAGTATTTCTTCCTCATCTTCTACAGTATCATCCTCAGCTTAAAGGTAAGGAAAGTTTGGCAAGGCTTGGGCAAAACAATGAAAGCACCCTCGTTTACAATACACCCTTGATTATCAACCACAGCAAAACATGCCAAAGAATAATTATAAGCCACGGCTTATGTTGGAATAAATGCGGTACTCAAAATGTAAGAGGTGTTCCCTTTTTTATGTAGGTTCTTTCTGACCCTGATAAAAGAAGAACATATGATCAACACGGAGAAGAAGGTGTCAAGAAAATGGGTGGTTTCGAAGATAGCGGGGGATTTGACCCTTTTTCATCGTAAGTTTTAAGTTTTGCCTCCGTTAAGATGCACTTCATTTTCTGCATTGTGAAGACGTGGTAAGAATCTGACTCTAATTTACTGGCTGTAATTTGCATTCATTGGTCTCTGTATTAATAGTTATTTTCATTTTTTCTATAAAGGCTTTCACACCTTGAAAGATGAGAAAGTTTCTTTTCTCCAGATTAGTTTCATATGCAATTTATTTAAGGTCATATCTTTAATTTTTAACTTTCAGATAGAATATAATTCAGATTTTCTTCTTACTTCTGTGCTTATGTTTAAAGAAACCCTAAATAACTGTGACAAAAATTCAAGTTTTAAAATTAAAGTTCATGCTGTTTTAAAAAACTATATATGCCATTTTTCTGATATGAAGGTTGCTTTGCAAGCTGAATAAAAACTCAGGCTACGAAGTGTTTTATCATCTTGTAATTCTTTTGATTTCAGCTTCTTTGGTGGCTTCGGCTTTAGTTTTGGATCTCAAAATGAAGGGAACCGCCATTCTGAGACGCCAAAAGGTGCTGAGGTTGTCATGGACCTTGAGGTAACATTAGAGGAGCTGTACACTGGAGAGTTTGTCGAGGTAAAGTATATATGAAGCAGTCAAACCTTCCATTTGGTTATCTACAGTTGAACCATTGTGACTCCAATTCCGTTTTGTCTTTTCGCTAAGTTTGCTGCTATTTATTATTCAAGGTAATGCGGGCCAAGCCTGTTGCAAAAACAGTTCCGGGTACAAGAAAGTGCAACTGCAGAATGGAAATGAAGACCACCCAGCTTGGACCCGGTCGCTTCCAAATGATGCAAGAAGAAGTTTGCGATGATTGTCCGCAGATCAATTTTGTAACCGAGGAAAAACTTTTGGAAGTGGAGATTGAGCCGGGCATGATTGATGGGCAAGAATACCCTTTTCTTGCTGAAGGTTAGCAACTCGAGAGCTATTTTGTAAAGATAGATTGGTGCATTCGATTGGTATATGTAAGCTGGCTCACCTACTCTCGGTTTTAAAACATTTCATTGCACTGGTCGCATGTAAAGAACAGGCTAGTTATGAAAAGTGGACTTGACTGCTAGAACTGTCTCTTAGTCAAGCTGTTTATCACCGTTTTTTCTCTGGACCTTTGTCTTTTTTAAAGTTTTATCTGAACCTTTGTCATATTTTAGGAGAGCCGCATGTTGATGGTGACCCTGGAGACCTGAAGTTCAAAATCAGTGTTCTGAAGTAAGTGGGTGCCAAGGAATTTACGCAGGTGGTGCCCTGCTATTAAAAACGAGTTGGTAGCATAATGGTAGAGACTGGAGTCCACCTTTTTTGTATTCTCTGTTATGTGTAACGTCAGCTCTAAAAAGACAAATATTCGTTGATTGTTCTCTCAGGCAGAGACTCGAATCAAAACTCCAAATTCTCTTTAGCCATAATTTTGCTTTGGATTGTTATCTTGCCTGAAAAAATCTTTAGATGGTGAGTTGAAACTTTCACAGATGATAGGCCAAAAAAGCATATTAAATAAGTTGAAGACTTTTTCTTTAAATTATGATGATTAAGTTAGGGGTATTAAACAAATATATTGCAAATTGTATGCATCACCGCTCCGCTTAACTTTCCCACTTTGATAGCTACAAGAACGAATATATTTGACCCCTGCGCTTGATGGGTTTCTCCTATTAGCATTTGATCATCACTCCCCTTTAGGTTTTGGGGTAGGTTAATAGTATGTGTTTTGATCTTGATCTAAGTTTGAATCCTGTTTTAGGCACGACCGATTTGAACGGAGGGGCGATGATTTGTACACAAATGTGACACTGTCGTTGGTGGATGCATTGAATGGCTTTGATCTAGACATCCAGCACCTTGATGGACACAAAGTCCACATTCACAGAGAAAAAATAACTTGGCCCGGCGCAAAAATCAAGAAAGCAAATGAAGGCATGCCAAACTATTCAGACAACCTACAGAAAGGATTTTTATACATAACATTTGATGTCAATTTCCCAAAAGGAGAATTAACAAATGAAGAAAAGCAAGGTAGATTTTCTAGTTTTTTCTTGTAACAACATGAGTCATTATGTTGTTAGACATTGTTCAGAACTTTTTATAATAACCTTCTTTTCCGGTAGTATTCTTTTTCTAGGTCTTTGTGTCGTGTATAACGATAGTTATTATTTAAAAACAGGGTTTAAGTCGCATTAGAAAGCCTTGATTTTGAGATTAATTGGGCGGTCAGTCTCCCTATAGTCAACCCTGACTTTCATCATCTTTCATCAGTCTCCCTACATTTTCCTTGTATAAGGTTTGGCCAGACGGTTCACTAGAAATGAAAATTGTGTGTATTTCCTTTTGGTTGATGTTGAAGCTACACGCGACTATAATGGTGTTTAAAAGACCCTTTGTTATTATTCACATTACATTCAAAAATGTTCGGATTCCATGCTGCCTCAATTTGAGGGGTTTGTATTTGAAAATACGCTACTTAAAAATACGCTCCTCTGTATTGTTCATTCCATTTTGATTAATATTTTTAATTACATTATTTGCCAGTTGAACTGTAATTTGCGGCATTACTTTTTTTGCAGATATAAATAGAATTTTGAAGCAGGAATCATCTCAGACAGTTTATAATGGATTATAATGGATTTTTACAAGAACAAGGTGCGACAATTTAAAGACTCTCTAGGAATATTTGGACAATTATTAATAAAGTTAAACGTGTATTTCTCTCCCTTAGTTGAATTATTAATAACATTCCTTCTTTCCCGTGTCAGATAATATGTTTTTCAGCACAAAAGAAAAATTTTACACTTACTAGAGACAGTTCCGATTCTTTTCCAGTTAAGGGAAAAGAAATTTGTTCTAATGACAATATTCAGTGTCTTGCATTAGGATAAAATGAAGATATCAGTTATAAAGCAATGTTCTGTGAAATTGCTACTTGTGACCAGAGTTTATGTCGTCTTGGCCTTTTGTCATAGAAAAACCTCGTTTTTATCCCCAACAAAACCAGAATAACTTACCGAGAAGCCGAATATTCGTGAACGCTTGATTCGGTATCACTGCAGTCCTTTCCGTGTTGAAAATTTATACATTTAAGTATTTGGAATGTGGCTGTTGATGCTCAAGATGGTGCTACAACCGAATGCGAAAAAAGTTTGCTAACCAATATTGTTTTGGGGGTAAAGAAGGAAGGTTTCGGCGGGTAGCAGAAGGGGCGTGTTTATTGCTTTTGGCAAGGATGGTAAAATATTTTCTACTCCACTTGGTTGTTTTAGTCTCTTGAAAATTCAAAAAATTAGTTTTTATCTTCAATGTGACATTCCAACGTACAACGTTCACTCTGACTTTTATTGCCTCCCGGTCTTGTTCCCTTTTGTAAGCGAACGAAATGGCTTTTTCGGATTGTTTAGACCCAAAGCATGCAAACAAATGCGATTTGCGACGTGGGTTTTTTGTACACAGGAAATGGAAGTAAATTATATTCCAAGTTGATAATTATTAAACTTTTGAAATGCAAAATATAAACAAAGTGACACTATTCTATTTCTATCCAGTTTTATTGCGATAGCAACATTCTAGTTATAAGGTCTTGTACGATGAAATTCCGGTCATCAATCGAAGACATTCGCTAGTCCCAGGACGATGGAAGTATACAAGTGAATAGGACCGCGTGGATAGTTTATTAAGAACTGACTCGAGTTCGGGGGTAAACGTTTTGAGAACAATTGCTGGTATACCAGATTTAGAAGTGTTTAGAAGTAGAAGAGCTTTGCGAACTTTGCAGTTGGAGAACTTGATTAGTAACATTGATGATGACAGGAGGATAACAAAAAAGGAGGATAACAAAGAAGAAGGATAACAAAGAAGGGGGATAACAAAGAAGGTGGATAACAAGGAAGGGGGATAACAAAGAAAGGGGATAACAAAGAAGGGGGATAACAAAGAAGGAGGATAACTAAGAAGGAGGTTAATGACAAGGTCGTTATCCCCGATCGCCAAGTTTTAAATTGGAGACAAGGGTTGATGGGAAGAGGTTGGCTTTTGGTGCAGTCGTTGAAATGATGAACCAGGAACAAATTAGTAAAAAAGAAAAACTTATATACATCATTTTACGTTGAATTTTTCCTTTATAACATATCCAAAATCGCCTAAAACCCAATTTGGGGAAAAACTTTTGGCGAATACTTTTGAAAACATGAGCTTTTTGACAATAAAATCAATATCATCTGCCCAGGGATTCTGAAAAATATGAAAAGCTTGCAGCAATTAAAGGTGTAAATTCTGAATTTGGTAGCTAAACAGGTATTCGAGTGGACAATTGAGAAATAAAATTGAGTATATCAAGGCCCACGCCATCAGGGGGCCGGAGGGGCCATGCCCCCCCCCTACTATTTTGGTAAACAAAAGTATTTCTATAGATGTCCTGTTTTCTAGCCCTAAATTCAAATTCAATGTATAGAGCTTGGTCCCTCCACTTAAAATTTGTGGCGTGGGCCCTGAGTATAGGTTGAACAGTAGAAGGATAATAAAATCTTGTTGCTAACCCGCCAAAATTTTTGAAAATTCTTGATTATAAGTGAGAGCACTAATTTTTCAACAATTTCACAGATAGATCAATTCTTTCTGATAAGGACCTCTGGTATTTTGAATTCTTTGCCCAGTATGAAATGTGAAGAGCAGTTGTCCAGATATATGATTATATATTGCGTCTGCTGCTACAAGATCAATGCTGCCTTGAAGACGAGGTTATACATTTTCAGTCCACGAATAATGCCGCATCCTTCCAAAGCTTGTCTTGTATTGGTATCGTTGTGACATAGATTTCTAGCGCCGCTGCTAGGTGGTACGGGCCCTGGAGCTAAAGTCATCATGACTCCCCAATTTGCAGGGAAGGCCAAATGCCCTTGCTCTGAAATTGAAGGCTAGCATGGGCTTTATATGTTGCTTTTTAGCATGGTTAAAATGTTCATATTTTCTTAAACCTTCTCGCCTGGGGTCTGTTTATACAAAATAGATATGAATGCAGTGTTACGCGGCAAATAAAAGTGAGTCAACTTATGAGCCCAGACCCCGCCCCTTCCCGAAAATATTTTTTTCAAACTGTTGTTCATTTCATTAGTTTATTCATTCATTTCAAATGTTTAAAGAGGGTAGCCCTTCAGCAATGCTGATTTTCAAGGAGCCCTCCACCTAAAATACTTACATAATTATCATAAAAAAACAAATTATCCTAATTACAATTCAGTATTTACAATCTAAAAAAAATCTTATTTTAACTTGAGTTTCATTTTACTACAAATATCTATAACGAAAGGCGAAATAGTAATTTCAAATATACAATTTACATAGATTTCAATAGATTTTTTTGAAGTTGATCAAGGAAGATGCCTGTTTACACTCAGCTGAGAGGCCATTCCAAGACCTAGCACTTCTAAACGAGAAGCATTTCTGTCCATTTTTAGATTTTTTCTTTTGTAGCCTTAGGTCAGTTTATGTATTCCTAAGATTCCTAGAATTTAACTTGGATTTCTCTGTGAAAAGATCACACATGTATTGTGGAGCCAGTCCATGAATCGATTTGAAGACCATGATATTTGACTCATTAGTGATCAGCTCGTCTATGGTCCTCCAGCCCAGCTCCTTTATGAGTGGTTGGCTCGGTACATCAAAACTGCTGCCAGATACAATGCAAGCAGCCCCGTTTTGTAGTTTTTGTAAGCTTTTGATTTCGAAAAGACCACAACAGCCCCACACCGACAACAATGGCGAATGTGTGGCTCCACAATTCTTGTGTACAAAGTCTTCAGAGTTTCTTTTGGCAGAAAGGATTTTGCATGCTTCAACAAGCTTTTAGTGTGTTCCTTCCAATCTAGTGTGTTATTGATTTGTATTCCAAGATATTTGGTTTTTTGAACAACATCCAGCTCTTTGTTCTGAATTTTTAGCTCTAAAGATTCCCCTTGATTCTTTAATGATTTATGCTTAGGTTTGGTGGAAATAAGCAGGGCATGTGTTTTCATTACATTCAGTGAAAGTTTGTTGCCCTTGAGCCATTTTCAACGTGTGCAAGGTCCCTATTGATGGCCTCATTCAGCTAAGTGATATCATGCGATTGATGGCAAAGACTCATATCATCTGCATACAAAGACACCTTTGTTTTTGGACAGCTAGTGGGAGGTCGTTTAAATAAATGAGGAATAAGAGGGGTCCAAGACATGAGCCTTGGGGTACACCAACATTTATTTCCATAATTGATGAATCAACACCGTTTACCCTAGAGTATTGCTTCCGGTTGTAAAGGTATGATTTAAACCATTCTAACGGCTGATGCTGAAAACCATAAAACTCTAGCTTTTTGCATAGTATGCCATGGTCCACCGTGTCAAATGCCTTTTTAGGGCAATAAAACTAATCCCACTAGCTTTCCCAAATCTAGTCCTTTATACCAGCCATCAGTGTTTTTAAGCAAACATGTTACGGTAGAGTGAAGTTTACGAAAGCCAGACTGTTCTGGGGATAAATATCCATTATCACTCATGTGCTGGTACAATTGGTTAATCACAAGTCTTTCGAACAGCCTTGAGATGACGGGTAAAACTGAAATAGGGCGATAGTTAGACTTATCAGTTTTGTCCCCTTCTTTAAAAATTGGGGTAACTCTGGCCAATTTCCATGAATCTGGAAAAGTGGAAAAGTTCCCAGATAGAAGAGGGTTAGAAACAGCTTCGATTTTGCTGGCAATGAAAAAGATGATGTCTTAAGTGACAAGAGGCAGTTCCACTTTATTAGCAATTGCTCATTAATTTTCAAGCCTTTACAGTACCAGTTTACAAGTTTTGTTAAGGCAGAAATGTCGATAACATTACTAAAGTCAATCTTTTTAGCAATATCACATTTGATACTCAAGGACAAGTTATTTAGCCATCAATCCTTGTCACTTTGACGGACCCACTTTGCTAGCCTGAGTTCAAGGCCGTCGAAAAGACACTTTAACCATACAAAAAAAGCAGAATTAATTTCAAATACTTTAATATCTAATTTCAGGCATTTTGGGGCCTCTACGGGAGAAAGCCTTACCTGGAATGATGCTTCATCGTTATATAGTTATTTGTAGCAGCATTACCACAAAGGAAGCAACATTTTTCCACCTGAACTCAGTAAAACTTGATTGCAGTCTTTTAAAACAAGGTGTTGCGCCACCATCTTTACTTATTCGAGGTGCCTTTCTTGGGTTAAGAAAGTTTCGACGACAGTCGTCTCTGTTTGTTGAATAATTGTTTAAATCAAGTCTTACGTGTCTTTCACTGTGCTTTATGATGTTTGAGACACCTTTTCATAACGTGTACTGCCTTTCCATTGTTAAAAACTAGCTTGCACATCACAAAGTTTTAATCCACTAAATTGCTTAGCGATTCTGCCATATTTTATCCAAAGAGTACCAGTTTCTAGAAAGTGAGCCGTTAATTTGTACCAATTATCGGGAAATAATGACCTGTCTTCATATCGAAATCACAAAAGGACATTACATCTTTGGCTGGCATGCCCCCAGTACCCCCAATAGCCCCTCCCAGAGTAAATTGCTAAGGCATTGAACAACTTTATGTACCATAAAAGATAGATAAATGTCCCTCGCTTATGGTGTGTTAGCGAATTTTGTATTTTAGCATTCAAAAACTGCCTGTCGGTTATAAAATTCCCGCCCATGTTTTTAGGGAAATCAGTAAAAAAACTGGCTTCTTCCTTTATTAGCACTCTTCTTTATTATTCAAGCCTAGAATAGAAAAAATTTTCCTTACGTAATTGATTATCGAGTGTGGCCTCTTATATCATATAAACATCAATAAAAATATTTCCCCACTGTCGATTTTAGGCAATTTTGAGTATGTTACAAAGGAAAAAATTCTGCACTGGATGGTGGAAAATGCGCTTTTCTACCATTTTTTCCCCGGTTGACCTTGAATTGAACGCTCCTCGACCTCACTATTTGGCTGAAGCAGGGTTAGAGAAGGATCCAGTTTCGTTTCTCAAAGGAGGGAAGAAGGTTTTCCAAGGACCACTTGTATTAGTGAAGTAGTTTGCAAGGGCCAATTGTATTGCTTGGCATCTCCAAAGCAATTTACTACAGCCATCAAAAGCTAAATTTATCTGCCTTAACAAAAACAATTCTTCATCTCCGCATCGAGGCGCGCTGTGCAGAGCACAGTTTATTACGTTCTGATTAGAGATGTATTCCTGTTGGCTATTCCAACTCGCTCTTGACAGCAACAAATCAAATTTACATATATCATACCAGTACATATCCTATTCCATCAGTTTTTTAAAGAAAAGACAGTATGTTTTTTGAGGATAGGGCAAAGATGTGGGAAGGGCTTGGGAGGGTGCACAGCGACCTCGATGCTACGAGGAGGCTCGAAGAACTCAAATCGGAGTACGCAGAGTCTCCTCCAATTAGGATAGATTGTTTAATCTTGACTGACTTTAAAGACGGATAACTTGTAACCCGGATATGTTTTAACCCAGGCTAGTGGAAAGGCTGCCTTAGTCAAAAATTTCTTACAGGCAAAGGTCGTTTGTAATTATTCATGTTACAATGTTCTTTATAAAAATGCTCCTAAAAACAATCCTTAAAAGGTCATGCCAATTGTATATACTTAAAATTGTATATAAACAGCCGTGGTTCAAAATTATGGTTTACACGCAAGCAGGGGCGTCGCTTTGTACTTTTTGTTGGGGAAGTGGCTGCATATTTGCCCTGCAGAAATAATTTTGCCCTGGCAAAAGTTGAAAATGTGGGGAACTGGTCCTCGCTTCCCGTAACACTAAATCAATTCTCAATCGTACCCACTTAGACCCTGGCTTAGTGCATCCACAAATTCACCGATGTGTTTGCCTGACCTTGGGAAGACGAGCAAGAGAAAACTTTTTAATGAGTGAGTCAACGTTCCATCCTGGAGTCAAAGCTCTTGCGCTCTTTCGATATGCACACTAGCATCTCTCTTTTTTCGTTACACTAGATGTTAAATCACTATACGCAAACCTTTTTCAAAGTGAGGGCATCCAAGCCTCCCTCAATTCCATTAATCCCTCAAAATCAGAACCTGTTCAGAAATCTATTCCATCCAGCTCAAGTTCACGCTGACAATTCCTTTTTCGTGCCACTGGTAGAATGTATCATTTTTCTTTTGGAACAGACAAATTCCAAGCACACTGGCAACATGACTATGTAACAAGGAATTCATATGATCCAATCGTCCAACATTTAGATAAATATCTTTGTAGCATGAATAGGCCTTAATTTAGTAATGAGTTTAATGTTTTTACATGTTTTATTCGTATATCCGTTGGTTAACAGTTTGATGGATGAATTTTCTTGTTATGAAAGCTTTGCTCTATTCTACATATGTACCATCGCTCTGAAACAACACATCAATAGTTTTTATTAAGAAATAGCGCAAGTATTTCTAGTGCAAAGGATAAAGGCGTGACTTTTGCAACAAGCAAAAAAACATTGAAGCATGGTCTATTGTAGCCAGTTCCTCTGCACTGGTATTCACCATATCACTTTCCTCTATAGCTTTCAAAAAGACTGCTTCTCCCTGTGATTCGAGACTTGGATCAGCAGTAAAGTTGCTTTTTGTCAGCCTGTGCTTCATAAACGGAGCGAGGTACTGCAACTGCTTGAAATAAGGCCATGTTGGCTCAATCGGTACACCACCTGCGCTCCCCGAAGGTTTGTACTCCTTTAATACCTTTATGTAGCGATCCAGGAGCGGATCCAGGATTTTTGGTGACTATAGCTCAAATCTTTTGGGATTGAGACCACGCCCTCCTTGCTTGTGGGACACGCCCACTATATGGGCAAATGATATAATCATGTGTGTTTATAGTTGTTTCGTATTCATAAATATTCCTTCGAACATCCTTTTTCTATTTCCAGGGATGACAGAGAAGGGGGTGTGGGGGTACAACCGCCCCTGTTGCCCTTTGACAGAAGGGGCAAGGGTTGTTTTTAATAAAGTTCCCTTGAAACTGGCCAATTGTAATAATCAGAGCGATTCATATAAAATTCTGAACTTCTCAAAACATGTAAAATAATTCCTTATGCCGAAAGTTAGCCAATGTTGAAGATACCTACAGAAGATCGAAATAAAATTGCAGTTACGTATGAATTTGTAGAAGCTGAGAATTATCTTTCAAAAGCCCTTTTACTTGTGCCTGCCCCCCCCCCCTCCTGCCGCTTGGTCGTTCCGCCGTCCCTGTCTATTCCCTAGTAGGTCCTTGCCTTTGAAGCTACATTACAGGGGACCCAGGATGTGAAAACGAGCTATACTCCACTATTGCTTTACAGGGGACAGAAGGCGGAGAAGTAACGTGGATACTCATATTCTATTGGTTAAAAGGCCATTTTCAAACCTGACTATAGCTTCACTATAGCTCGCGCCAAAAATTATAGTACGGGCTTCATTGTCTTCGATACCTTTTCCAGAGCAAATCCCCAGACCGACTATAGCTCGGAAAGAACGAAACTTCTGATTCATCTAAGTTTTAATATTAGACCATTCTGCGCTCAGTGTTTTATATCTTATCTGGAGAGGCATTGTGATGACACATTGCCAGCATTGCATGTTTGTTAATCACATTTGATAACCTATACCGCTGCTTTCAAATGTTGATAGTAAACATTTGTGGGCATAAACAGACCTTGCTAAAACGAGGAACAAGCGGAACAACCCAGTAACAACCCAGTAACAAGCGGAACAACCCAGGAACAAGCAGAACAACCCAGTAACAAGCAGAACAACCCAGTAACAAGCGGAATCCAACTCTCTGAAGTTCGTGTGGGCTAGAACTATCAAGAGGCCGTCAATCATGTCTTCGTCTGTTTCGGAGGCTTTGTGATTTTGCCAACGGACAGAGAGAATCTATCGACCCCGGATCGGGACGAAAAATAAATAGTAAAGCATGCCTAAAGGGGTATATGTCAAAATATTTATTTCAGTTCTGATGTCGTTATATTTTGTTACAATTTATGAAAAAATATAAATGCTTGTTAGATTTTTGGCGGAAAGTTTCTCACCTCTCCTGTGAATTTTCTTATCGACGCCACTGTCTCTTAGCTATTAATATAATTTCTGTTTGCTGTTTAATATAATTTGAGCGTAACTGATATCTTAACTCCATAATGCAGAAAAATGAAATTTCTTGAAGTCTATGAAAATGGAAAACATTTAATTCGTTAACTAAATTCGATCACAACAGACGCACTGTTGCAAATAGATGTGCATGCCATAGTGTAAATCTGTACACGTAGCCCTGTTGCAATCACATTTTTCAGGCCCGTCGGAGCCGGGGGGCTGGGGGGGTTTCTGAAGCCCCACCAATATTTGTCTTACTGTAGTATGTTTCCTTTATAACAATGTACTGCATGGGAAGGAATACAATGGGCAACCTCTTACAACTTATAATTTGGATTAAAGAAGAGGTTAACTTTCAGCCTCAGTAAAAATTTTATGCTCCCGGCGAGGTCCAGATAATTTTTAAATGTGCATTTTGTCTATTGGATGGATTGTTCTATATTTGTGTTGCTCAAAACCTTTAATGTGTAGCTAATGACGGGCCATTCTCAAAGAAAACTTGTGAAACCCGAACCTCTTTTTATCTAAAAATAGTCCCCTGCCCGTTTTAACTACCTTCCCCGACTATTTTAGTTCTCAGAGCATGAATCCAATCTTTTCTTCACGCGAATACTTAGTAAAAAGTCTCGAAATTCTCTCCCCGGGGCTGACATGACGTCAGCATTTGTCGGCCCCTTTGAAAAAAAATGATGGTAGAGATTTTATTTTGACCCGGAGTCAAAATAAAATCTTCAACGATGGATCATTATCGCCAATTAAGCGGATTAAAAACGACAGATAGCATCAAACTTTTTTCAGCAATTTAGCCTTTTACACGATCGTTGTCATTCATCGCGGTCCAATATCGAAAAAAAGTTTAAGGAAAAACGATGGTGTAAACCCGCCTTAAGAAAATCTCGTACACCTATCGTAAAAATCCTATTGTTTTATCTGAAAATCCCCAGAAATCCTTTTGTTTTAAGCAAAATCTCGTACGCTATTTGCAAGAGTGAATCGGCCCTCGCACCAGCTCAATAGGCAATTATGCCCAGTTAGAAACCTAGCGCCTTCGGCGCTTCTATATCATCGGGTTATCGTCGCCCGGTGCAACTTGAGCCCAGGTCCAGGTGCCTCGATTTCACTTTCAGGATAAACATGGCTGCTAACAAGCGAGTTACACTTTTGCGTCTGAAGAGGAAAAGGACAGAAGACCCGTTCCAAGCGCTACGTGAGTCTCGTAAATAGTTTTCGGTTACATTGTCTATATCTGTTAAAAACTTTCTTCGTCTAAAAGGGAGTCAACTGCTGACAAGTGTGCATCTTTTGCTAAAAGGTTGCTCAGGGAAAGTTTTAACCTAAATTTTGACTGTTTTGCTAATTTAAGTATCTGGAATGGTTTCATTTTAGTGGTAAGAGCAAAGAAGTCCAAAGATTCACCCAGTCGTTTTGAAGACGAAGGTGGTTTGATCTTGATTTTTATCAATAACTTTGATATTTATGGTTTGAATGTTTGCTTTTATAAAGAAGAAATTGAAGCGATGCAAAAGCAATTACACTTACGTTCAAAAAGTATTGGGACAAATTCGATAAACGAATTATGGCGTTGCGTTGGGTTCGGTTTTGCAACGGAAAATTTTTCAAATTTGGACAGTCTTTCTACAATCTAGGCCAAGAAATTTATAAAAGAAATTACAAAATCAAAATTTTAAGCTTCAAATAAAGTTTGCTACATCAACGAAAACGTTACAATCTTATTAAATTATTGCCATTTACTCGAGTCACTTTTAAAACTGCGTAACATTCAAGGAGAAGCCATTGTATTCGTTGGGGATGTTTAATTTTTGTTATGAGAGAGCATTTTCTTCCTATAAAGCTGGAAAATTTTAGTTTTCATGATTTTTATAGCCATGTTTTTGCTTATGTTCCAATATTTAGCTTCTTTTTACATGATAACATAATTTCTAGTAAGGATTCAAACCTATTACTTTGCAGTTCCCCCAGTAAAGACCTTTGTCCCACGGCATCATAAACTTCTTCTGTCTGCCATCCCTTGGTAAATTTTTACTGATCTTGTATGGAAAATCTTTTTAGACACCAGAAAAGTTGCACTCATTGAGCATCCGACAATTGATGCAATTTCACAAAATCCATTTGCTTTATTCTAGTAGAAAGTAATTTGTAAGCGCACGTTTTCGTCTCAAGGCCTATAGAAGTTTTATGGTCGAGGTTTTTTTAATTGTTTGGCTTACATAAAATGCTTCCAAACATCAACAATGTCTTGTGAAAGTTTCATGGAAATAGCTGCTGTACTTATTTAATGAGAAAGGTTTTAAAAGAGTCTATCCAAATTTTTTGCATGAAATGTCTTTGAAATTTCGAAATGTGTCCCAGTACTTTTTGAACATAAGTGTACATGTATGTAGAACCTTGCCATTTCGCTTAGTTATAGCCAAGTAGGAATGTATATCTCTGCTTCATAGAATTTATAGACTAAGGCCTTTGATTCTATCAATCTATCTGTCAATCTATACTATTAATGTACATTAACCAAATATATGGTTGTTACGCACAGGTTGGTAGCTATCATAAAGGACCTTTACTGATAGCAGTACTTCATTATACTGAAAAGGCTTATTCTATATACATATGTGTGTTGTTATTTTCATAATTATTTTTATGATTATTATTAAATTTTTTGCTGCTACATTATAGTGTAAAAGTAATTTTTTGTAAGGATTGCAAGGCATTTAACAAATATTTTTGATAAGTTAACAGGCTTCAAGTAACATGTAGAGATAATTTTCATCGTTGATATTAAATATGTGACTTTCTTGGTTAGACAAACCATCTTTTTCCACAAAAACTCAATTTTAGATTGTGTATTCAAACTTGTGAAAACATCTTTCAAGGATACAGATGTGGATGCTACCAAACTAATTGTTGAGTAGTTCCTTTTGTACCTTACAACTCTCTAATTGTGTAGCGGTTAAAGGCTGCAAATAACAGCATTTTTCAACATAGATTATTTATATGACACCTGTATTCTTTAAACTTGCTTACTTAATCAAGAGCCTGGTTTTTTAGTTAACAACCTTGTACAAACATTGGTGTCACTGTTAGCCGTCATTTGAATATGAGAATGTCAGATAAGAAAAGCTCTTTATTGTGATAAAGTTGCTTTTGTACTTCTATCCACTTTTATTCAGCTTTTGTAGTTCATCAATGTGATTTCTTCTCCCAATTTGTTCATATTTATGCACATAACTTGTCGAATTCAGGAAGCAACATTATGTAACCTAATTCTTATTTGATAGTTCTTTAATAAGGCAATTTAATTTCTTACAGGATGAAGTCCAAAGCATTCCAGCTGAGAAAATATTAGAGTCAAAGGTTTTTCCTTATTCATTTTTTTATTGGTCCCTGAGCATGGCGGAAGTGCACGCTGCTCTTATGTGATCTAGACATTGGCCTAATTTCTGCAATCTTGATTTTATGATTATGGTACATTTTGGTTACATTTAAAAATATTCAGTTTAATTGTTATATATTTATTAATGATGACATAATAGATAGCGTTAACAGTTTGCAAATAACTCCCTGAACTGCAAGAAAATACTGGTGACCATGTTGTTCGGTGAACTGAAGGACGATGTAAGGTCAGCCCAATCTGAATTGAATGATGCAAAAGCTAGTTTAAAATTCACTGGGAATGATATGAAGGTAATTCAGGATAAAGTCAAAGATCTGGAATTTCTTTCTCAAAATCTGGATGGGGCAATGAGCAGCCATAAAGCCAATATATCAAATGTGATGAGGAAGCAGGAATATCTTGAAATTCAGAGCAGGTGCAACAATATCAAGATATTTGGTATTCCTGAGAAAGAAAAGGAAACATGGGCAGACACAGAAGCCCGTATCAAGTCGAAAGTCAAAGAACTGCTTCGAATTATAGATTAACTGTGTATTGAGAGAGCTCACAGAGTCACAAGCAGGCCTGGGACAGGAATGAATACTGCACGTGGGGATGGCATTTGTGATCAAGATGGAGCAAAATCTATCATTGCAAAATTCCTTAACTGGAAAATGAAGGTACAAGTTTTGGCAGCTGCAAGAAAGTAAAAGCCACCCTATTCTTGCAAGTCTTCAGTCAACAGACCCTAGAATGAAGAAAGGAACAGATTCCTCAGTTGCTGGCAGCTCATGGTCAGGGTAAGATTACCTACTTTATTGAGGACAAATTGGTAGTGAAAGAGAAACCCCCTGAAGTTGGGAATCGAAAAGCTGATTCCAACAGAAGCAACAGGATCACACATGTTGCAGTTGATAGTAACATTTCCTTTGGTTAATAAATCTTTAAAACTGGTCAAGTAAGCCCTGAACTTTTCAAAGTCAGTTGTATTTTAATAAACTTTCATTTGAGCATGCAAGTTCCTTAATTTTTTTCTTTTTTTCTGTTTTTTGTTGTTGTTTTTTTGAGCTTCAGTTTTGAAGTCATTGACAAGCCTAGATAATTTTTTTTTTTCATGTTTATAGTCATCATTATCATCCCATTGCATCTATCTCCATAGCACCACCCACGTCCCCTTACATCACCCACCACCTTTCCCTCCCCCACTTCCATCATCCGATTTTCTCTCCACTGCGCTGCATTCACACCATTCAACATCCACCAATCCGGCACCACCATCTCACATTTCAAATCCATTCACTCGTTGGTTTCATTTACTCTGATGAAGCCCTGTATGCCGGGGCGAAATCTTAGTATACTCTTAAATTCAATTTATTTTGAAAATCTTTTTCATGACATTGGATTCTCGTCGTCGTATTGCTTTGTTCCTGTATACCTTTCATAAGATAATTTCTCTTGTGGTATTTGCCACAAACATATACCAAACTATCAAAAGGCTCTTCTTTGTAATAATTGCAATAATTATATCCATATTAAGTGCAATGATATCTCTGCCTCAGACTTTAAAATACTTAAAAGAGAACCTGGTGGTATTCCTTGGTTTTGTAAGCAATGTACCACAGAGATCTTTTCATTTGGTTCCTTGAATGATGATGAATTGTTAGAGATTCGTCATATTAATTTGCCTCCCTTTGTAGACTGGAAACCGCAATTTGAAACTTCTTCTGACCTAATCAACTTACCTAATCTTAGCGATTATGATGTTGATGAACGTATGCCTCTTAATATTGATTCTCGTCATTTCACTCTAGCTGAACTTTGTTCCCTACAGTTATCTTCCAATGACTTTTCTATTCTTCACACGAGTATAAGAAGCTTACCCCTTCATCATGATGAATTAGTTTCTCTATCTGTTCACACAAACTTGGATCTTGATGTGATTGGAGTGTCTGAAATATGGCATTCTAAAGACAATCCCATCTTATCTAATGTTGATTTTCCAGACTATACTTTGTTTAAGACTTCATCACTTACTCAAAATGGTGGTGTTGGTTTGTACATCAAAAATTCTTTCATTACTTTCCAAGAGTTGACTTAGATGCCTGCAATCCTGATTTTGAAACTGTTTGGGTTGAAATTGAAATAAAAAATGACAAACATTTCATATTTTGCTGTGTTTATAGACATCCTAATTCCAATGTTGGTAACCCTACTTCTCGTGTTCAAGATATCCTATCAAAATTATCTTTAAACAAACTGGTATTTATTATAGATGACTTCAATGTTAATCTCTTAGATTATGCCTCTCATACACCAACAAGTAACTTTGTCAATAACTTTTTTTCTTATAGCCTTCTTTCTTCTATTCATCATCCTACTAGAATTTCTGAAAACAAAGCATCAATTATTGATAACATATACACAAATTGTACCAATGCTAACATATCAAGTTGTAATATACTTACGCAAGTTTCAGACCATTTCCCTCAATTTTTCATTTTGAAAAATACTCAGATTAGTCAAAATAAATCTGTATCTTTAAAATATGACTATTTTGAATTCAAGGAAGAAATTTTTTTGGAGGATTTTAACAAGCTTGATTTTACCTATTTGGAAAACAGTGACACAGATTTAAACAATAATTTTGATAGATTTTGGTATGATCTTACATCTTTGACCAATAAACATGCCCAAGTTAAACAGCAGAGCAAAAAGGAAATGAAGCTCAAAGAGAAACCATAGATCAACAATAGAATACAAAAAATGATGAGAATAGAGACAGAGTTTTGCAGTAATTAAAGAAAAAGAAATCTGATATCAATCTTATATTGTATAAAAAGTTTAGAAACCGCATAGCTAACGAAATAAAGGAAAATAAAGCCAGATATTTTCATACTTATTTTTCAACTAATAACCAAAATATGAAAAAGTTATGGTCCGGTATAAAGTTGATAATTTCACATAAATCATCTAGTTAATTTTCAATCAACAAAATTCAAGATAAAGATGGTAGTGTGATATCTGATCACAATAAAATTTCCAATACTTTGGTGATATAACCAAGAAAATTCCAAAGACTCTCAAATCTCCTCTTCCCTATGTATCAAACAGAACTTCTAACTCACCTTTTTCTTTCTCCAGTAACTCAAATGGAAGTCATTGACCTGATTAACACTTGAAACCCATCAAAATTTGTAGGTCCAAACAGTATTCCTATCAAATTACTAAAGTCATTTGGTACTCTATTTCCCCAATTCTTACTAGTCTTGTGAACCAATCTTTCCTCTCTGGTATATTTCCTGATAAACTCAAGATAGCCAAGGTGATTTCATTGTTCAAAAAAGGAAATCATGAGATTCCATCAAACCATCATTCTCTTTTATCTATCTTCAGCAAAATTTTTGAAAAGTTAATGTACAGAAGATTCTATAGATTTCTTTAAATACAAGATGTTCTCTTCTCATTACAATTTGGGTTTCAAGAAAATCATTCCATTGATCATGCTCTAGTGAGTCAAACACAGGCTGTAAGGAATACACTTGATGATAAAAGTATTGGTTGCAGTATTTTCATTGATCTACAAAAGGCCTTTGACACTGTTAATCATAGTATTTTGTTATCTAAACTAGAACACTATGGTGTTCATGGATGTGCACTAGAGTGGTTCAGCTCATATCTCTCTAATAGAATGCAATTTGTTTCTGTTAATGGCTGTAATTCTGACTTGCTTGAAATTTCTTGTGGTGTTCCACAAGGATCTGTGCTAGGACCATTACTGTTTCTTATATACATCAATGGTCTACCTGATGCTTCCAAGAAACTTAAGTTTTATCTTTTGGTTGATGATACAAACATTTATTGTGATTCTAATGATTTGCTAATCGAACTAAAAAAGTGAACTGAGAGCTGAGATAAAAAGCTGTGATCAGTCAAAAAAAAGGTGAGATGCTAATAAATTATCATTAAATATTGAAAAATCCAATAACATAATCTTTCCCTCTTCATCTGTATGTCTGTAAGTATTTCTACTGATGGTGCTATTAAATTCTTAGGACTCCTTTTAGATGAGCACCTAAGCTGAAAATACCATCTTAATGAACTTTCAAAAAAATTATCTAGAACATGTGGAATTTTCTTCAAAATTAGAAACCTACTTCCATTAGACTTCTTTCTCTGCCTGTATAATTCTCTGTCTCTTTTCTTCTTACAATGTGGCCTTAGTGTTCTTCTTACAATTTCCTTCTTACAAACATTTTCATCATATATTGAGCCAATTTTCAAATTGAAAAAAAGCAGTCAGAGCAAATTCATTTCAGCCAGGCGTGTCCCCCTCACTTCAAATTTTCAAAAATCTCAAACTTCTAGAACTTTCTGAGATTTTCGAACTCTGTTCACCAAAACCCCACAAGAAAGGCCAGTCAAGGTAATTTATATTTGTCCCGTAAAAACAGTCTTCAATATGGACTAAAGTCGGTGGGATATTTTGGTGGTAAACTGTGGAATAATTTTCCTTCTGAACTACGAAATTCTCCATCAAAAACACCTTTCAAATCGAAACTTAGAATTCACTTGTTCAACAAGATCAACCAGTGAGCTAGTATTACTGCTAAATTCCCGTTCTGAATCTTTCCAGCTGATTTTAATTAGTTGAAAAGTCCCCATTTTATGTGAAGAGAGTATGTGCATTTTAGCCAATTACTTTGTATTGAAACTCATCAAAAACTGCTCAATTATTGTCCTAGAATAGTAGGGGGAGGGTCTTTCCTCGATTAGTTTACCTATTGAGAGATCTCCTCCTTTAAGAATTCCCTTCATACAAATTATTTTGTCCTGTATTTGTATTTATACTATTATGTAGTTTAGTTTGATAATTTCTTTGTATTTATTATATATAAATTGCATATTGAGGATTTAAGAATATGAAACTGAACTGAACTGAACTGAACTGAAATTCATTCTCAGCCTGTATAGTTTTGCTAGAATTGTGGATGCTTTCTTGAAGAGAATATTTGTTCTTGCAATTATATGTATATTTAAGATTAGCATGATTAGAATAATTGCTGTGATAATTAATCAAATTGTTATATTTGTTCAATTAAAAGTGTTCTTTTGTTTCAAAATATTAAAGATCAAATACAAGTTTTTATAAAAACTATTTTCTTTAGAAGAAGAAGACATATGAATCATACAAAATTACATCAAAATCTGATGTCCTGAACCATCAAGGGTTGGTCTTCTGTTTTCATCAAGCTTTTGTATTCATATTTAGCAACAATAGTCAGTCACAAATCTGTGAAATCAATCTCAAAAGAACGAGACCCTGGTGAATAATTGCTTTCTGATTTCCTTTTTATTGCTATCTGCTGCTGTTTCTAAAACCTTTGACTTGACTTGACTTGAAGTTTGACTTGAATCTCAAGCACACTGTGTCCTGGCCCTGTTACAGCCTGATGCATTGGTTAACTGTCAAGGACTTTAAATTTATTAGTAGTTTTAAAGATTTGATAAAGATAGGAAATTTTTGACTGTAAGAAACAGAGTTGTGATGCCGCAAGGTCCTTCATTTGCTGTTTGTTTTGTCTTGTAGTTTCAATTTCCCTATGACTACTCTTTGAAGTATTTGATGCAGGCTGTTAAGTTAATAGCATTTAATTAATGCAAAATTATTTTTAAGTCAGGACATTTCTTGTGCCAATTTGGAGATAACAAAACATTTGAGTAGAACATTATATTTTGTTTATGTCAGAACATTGTTATTAACAGATTCAATACTGAAGAGGAAAAAGAAAAAGAAGAACTGCTTATGGAAATTTATGATGTCTCAAAAGAAAACTTGATACAAGAGAATGATGAGGATCTTATTTGTGGCTCTTCTGATGGGAATTCATCCAATACACTAGAAATTTTATGCAATTCAATGAAAATGTTTCGAGAAAAACTTACTATTTCTGAAGGTGAAAGTTATCTTTAACTTTATTGGGTAAATCAATTCTTGCCAGAATTCCTTTTTAAACAAAAATTCAAACTTGTTTCTTAATTATGACATCAATATAATATTCTTTCATCCACTAGCCAAAACTTAGATACCTTGTTACTCCTACCTAACCCCTAAAAGCTACCAAAACCCCTAGCCATTGAACATGAAACTGAGGCCAAACGTCTCCAATATATAAACGTCCCCAAATTTATGTAAATCTACTTGATTTGAAATACAAACGCGGAATGTGGACCCAAATATGCGTTTGGGTTAATTTGCTTGAAAACGAGACTATGAAATTAAATATTGAGGGCCACCATCCTGCCTGCATAACATCCATTTTCAGAAAAAACATCCCAAAATTTCTAAAACCCAACTTTTTCTCCCCTTGGTTTTTCAATTAATAACAAAGGTAAAAGCTGTGTAAAAACATTCAAATTTCTAAATGGTCGACAACTCTCAATCAATTAAGTTCTCATCACATTTGATATGTTTCGTCCTGATGTGTTAAAATGTCATTCTAGATTCTGAAATACAGGATTCAGAATATGTCTACGATCTATATTATGGACAGGAAAAGGTTTTAGGTGACACCGAGTCTCTGTAAGTCTTTAAAGAATTTTTGTTGTTTCTTGAATTTTTCTTGAATCAAGAGAACTCAGCCCATATTTTAAAAGGGATTTGATTATGATTGCTTTTAAGTATAATCATTTCTTGTTGCTGATCAATAGAGGATTTTATATTGAGCCCTTTTTTATTGAAGGAAGAGCGAACTAAGATGGCATTACTAATTGCCCTTTGAATGTTGGTTTTTCGTGTAGGGACTGTAATGTTTTGTAGTATATATTGGGTTGAGACTTAAACACATTGTCTCTCTCTCTGGCTCAATCAGAGAGCAGCTTTGTTTGAAAAACCCAAACATTATTAGAGATCCTGTCTTTGCTTAGATCAATTGAATTTTATCCTTTCCAGTTTTCAAGTGACGAAAATCGCTTGACAACCCTTCTTTTACACGAAGCCAAATGCAAAGTAACTTATCAGCAAAGCAATGACATGAAAACCTGTTAAAAAACCATTTCCTACATCAATCACAGCAAACCAAATATCCAGCCGCTTGCAAATTCCTCCCATGGAATCCTGCTTAGAATTCTCAGAATCTTTCTAATAAACAATTATCCATAGATTGTCAATGTCATTAACCTCTTTTTTGTTTTAGATTGTACATCCAGTCATTAGATCAAGATCTCTTATGTGATATTGAACTAGATGAGCAAAACTCGCCTGCTATTGACGATGAAGATGATTCCAATGGTGTGCTTTTTTTGTATTTCCTCGTTTGTTTTGATGAAGATAATATTGATGCCAATAGATCAATGAAGACTCCCAAGCTGTAAAATTTCAAGACAATGTGAAACAGAGCAGAAAAATCTCCTCGAACTAGTTCTTTTCTTGCCGTCTAGAATACATTTAGCTTACTCTTGTCGCTGCAAACATTAATAGGCTCAGAATGCGATTAGTTACCCATATAAAGCTTTTTATTACATTTTTTTGTAGGTGAAAACAACTGGAGGAACGATTATCCTGAAGAGGATGATTTTTTCTCTTCAGATGAAGAAAAGTTTAGTCAAAAGGATGGTGCGTACTGCCTTCCTTCTCAGCATTCTCTCATGACGACCTTCTACCTCTCCCACACAACGTATCATATGCTAAGAGTTCTTTTTGATCTCTATTTTTGTTGCTGCACCTTTGCTCAAAGTGTGCTAAATTCTTTCCGTTATGAATCGAAGTTCACCCCTGAAATAACATCGTTTATCTGTCAAACCTCGAAATTAAAACTCTTTCGATAATGTCATTTTCAAAAATGCCTTATCCTAGTATTCATTCCGCCAATTCAAAACTAATTTTTTGATAATGGTGATGCTTGATAATGTTGCCGTATTTTCTAACCTTTTTCCCTGAATCATAAGATTATTCCGATAATTCTTTGATATTGGTGATGCTTGATAATGTTGCCGTATTTTCTAACCTTTTTCCCTGAGTCATAAGATTATTCCGATAATTTTTTGATAATGGTGATGCTTGATAATGTTGCCATATTTTCTAACCTTTTTCCCTGAGTCATAAGATTATTCCAATAATTCTTTGATAATGGTGATGCTTGATAATGTTGCCGTATTTTCTAACCTTTTTCCCTGAGTCATAAGATTATTCGGATAATTTTTTGATAATGGTGATGCTTGATAATGTTGCCGTATTTTCTAGCCTTTTTCCCTGAGTCATAAGATTATTCCGATAATTTTTTGATAATGGTGATGCTCGATAATGTTGCCATATTTTCTAACCTTTTTCCTTTTGTCATAAGATTATTCCAATAATTTTTTGATAATGGTGATGCTTGATAATGTTGCCATATTTTCTAACCTTTTTCCTTTAGTCATAAGATTATTCCAATAATTTTTTGATAATGTTGATGCTTGATAATGTTGCCGTATTTTCTAACCTTTTTCCCTGAGCCATAAGATTATTCCGATAATTTTTTGATAATGGTGATGCTTGATAATGTTGCCATATTTTTCTAACCTTTTTCCCTGAGTCATAAGATTATTCCAATATTTTTTTGATAATGTTGATGCTTGATAATGTTGCCGTATTTTCTAACCTTTTTCCCTGAGTCATAAGATCATTCCGATAATTTTTTGATAATGTTGATGCTTGATAATGTTGCCATATTTTCTAACCTTTTTCCCTGAGTCATAAGATCATTCCGATAATTTTTTGATAATGTTGATGCTTGATAATGTTGCCATATTTTCTAACCTTTTTCCCTGAGTCATAAGATTATTCCAATAATTCTTTGATAATGGTGATGCTTGATAATGTTGCCGTATTTTCTAACCTTTTTCCCTGAGTCATAAGATTATTCGGATAATTTTTTGATAATGGTGATGCTTGATAATGTTGCCGTATTTTCTACCTTTTTCCCTGAGTCATAAGATTATTCCGATAATTTTTTGATAATGGTGATGCTTGATAATGTTGCCATATTTTCTAACCTTTTTCCCTGAGTCATAAGATTATTCCGATAATTTTTTGATAATGTTGATGCTTGATAATGTTGCCATATTTTCTAACCTTTTTCCCTGAGTCATAAGATTATTCCGATAATTTTTTGATAATGGTGATGCTTGATAATGTTGCCATATTTTCTAACCTTTTTCCCTGAGTCATAAGATTATTCCGACTACTGAGACAACAAGACAACGAAATATATTCTAACCTCAGACTAGCAATATCAATCATTTTTTGTACATGATTCTCTTCAACTCGCTCGTTCTATATTTGAGCCTAGCCTCTCTGTTTCAGATGATAGTGAAACCGATTCAAGTAGTGAGGATGAATTAGAACATTCAAGTTTCCAAGGAAGGTCAGCCAACTTTGATGTTTTCTTCCATTTTCATAAAAAATATTTCTACTCTACTTGCCTTTCCTTTATTGTTTAAAGTATATTCTGTCCTTTGGCTTCTCCTGCTAGAGGATTTTTTTCACGATAATGCCTTTTTGGCTTGTCTGATTCCTAAATGTTATTTTTATAATGGTATTTATATTTTTATATGTTATTTGGTAAGGCGATTATTTTTATCTGCATACAGTTTGCGCTGAATCATTTGAAGATAAATTATTGGCCTAAAATGTCTGTTACTTTTGTCAGATAACCCCAACATTTTGTCATTTAATATGATTCAATTAACTTTTACTAAAACATTTAGCAACTTCACAACGTCTAAAATTTATTTTGAATCTAACAGATTTAAGTCAAGTACACCCGCTCATTGCAACGCGATTCGTGGACCTTTTTTGCTTTTGCATTTAAAACATTTGTAAGTTTTTTGCAAAAGATTGCTCGTGCAAACGTGAATATGACTCTTGTAATCGATGCATAAAATTACTAAATCCCTGGTTGAAAATCCTTCTTCGCTATCCATGACTTAAAAGGATGGCTATGAGCATGATGGTGGGAAGGATAGTAAAGGATGGCTTATGTGGGCATGAGGTATTTGTGGAATAGTCGATGAGCAACGCTTAGCTAAATTACAATTGGTCTCAACCTCATGGGTCAGAAGATGGTGCGCGTGTTATCAGCAATGTCTTTGTCATTCTATTTTGATTATGCATAGAAAATGACCTCCACAGTGGTATCAGTGCCGAGTCAGTGCGAGTAATTTTTTAAATGAATAGGGACATTAAAGTGCGTTAGAATACTTAACTTATATTCAGTTGTGCACGAATTTAGTGGCACAGGCTAGGTACTTCACACGAGTCTCCATGACATTGTTGTTATTCTTCTTTAAACTAGAGATTTTTTTGCAAGCCTTAAACAATGTAAACGATCATGTACTGCTATACTTTCTTATAGTAGGCTGCAAATAGTTCTTAAATAGTTCTTATCATGTAAGAGGTAGGCTTCCAATAACTATGATTAAGCAATGTCTATATTTCCCAGTTGTAAATGTGGAAACATTTCAATTCAACTTTAACTACAATTACAAATCTCACTATTGCAAGATAGTCTGGTTTTACAAGAAAAATCGATACAGGGCGGCCATTAATATTATATCGATGCTATTTTTGTACCTGATGAGCGTTCACAGCTTTTGTGCCTCAATTTTTAAAGGCTTGTTTTTATTCAACAGTCTAAATGGTACATATTTTGTAGTTTTGTTGCCAACAATCACATGGTATATTCATTCTCTTGAAACATTTGCATAGTTCTGACACCTCGACTGTTTATTTGCAACCTTTAGGGCTCCATTTCAGTCAAATTGGAACGATTATGAAAATCAATACGTGTTTGAGGCATACGATCCTCTACTAAGTGGCGAAGATGACTAGTGTGGCAGTTGTATGTGCGTCAGCCTCATATGAAAGAGATCACGGTAGAAATGCAGATGCCGGGATGAAGAAGGTTCTTCTCACCAAGTTCCTTTGAAAAACAAATCACTTTATAGAACAAGTGATTTTAAAGAGCAAGTCACTTTGAAGAGCAATTCACTTTGAAGAACAAGTCACTTTGAAGAACAAGTCATTTTGAAGAACAAGTCAATTTGAGGTGCAAATCGCTTTGAGATGCAAGTCATTTCGTGATGGCGGTAGGATTGTCTCTTAAGTCAAGGCGGTAGAATAACCTAAGTCAACATAGTCCTAGTCAACAAGAAAAACAGACCATAAAGAAGACTCTTTGAAAACCATTTTTCAGGTTCTGCAACTGCCTTCCTTTATCACGAACTGCCTGTTTATCTGTTTAGCAACATGCAATGAGCTGACTGCTGCCTAGACGAATATTTTATTTTGAAAAATTCATTGGACTAGAACGCTTTCATTTTGCGTGGCCAAAGGGCACAAGTTTTGATAAAAGATGAGTAGTGAAAGCTGATGACCCTAAATACGGCATTGTCAGTATTCACCATATGCGTTGATAATATTTGCATGAAAAATGTGACCCTTGATGACTTTGTTTATCTAATTTAAAGCCGTCACCCTGTGTGAAAAATGATGTTCTTCGTAAAATCACCTTATTAACATTTTATGGGAGGAGTGCAAATTGTTCTTACTCCTGAGAATGATGCAGATGTGATGGAAGGTCCTCGATTAGCGCCAGTTTGTTGCCCTCATAAAGTTCAAAAATTATATTTCGATCACTATGATGTTTATGAGTGCTTTTAGAGCGGAGCGGACCTGCTAACAACATGACTGTACGCTCAGCAGGAAAAGCTAGTTAAAACTAATTGCAGCCACTTAACTTTGAACTAGAAAACTGATAAAAAAGAGCTGTTTTTCCATATCAAAGCTTTCTCCATAGTTGGTGTGTTTAAATTTGGGTAAAAAAACCTGAGTGAAAATTCACTTTCTGGGAATTTGTGATTGTTAGGGTAAAAAATTAGTTAGAAAATCTTGGAAATGCGCCAGTGTCAACAATTAGAGGAAACTCCATAATAGCTAGACAGATATTCAGGTATTTTTGTAGGTTGAAAAGTGAGAAAATGGAACACAAGAGAAGAAAAATATTCAAAAAGACCATGAAACCTGAGAATTGCATAATTGCTTCTGTTGATGAAATGTCATTGGTACACAGCACCATCTAGTTCAATGCAAAGTAAATTTCTCGCTTGGTGCGAAAATCTTTTATATCGTTTCTTTGCTGCTAAAAATTGAAACCTTGCATTTTTTGCCCTTTTGTACAAAAACTCTTGACAGATGCACTAACAGCTTTCAAATGCGAATTACTAGAGGTTCAAAATGAATGTCCACTTGTTGTGTGTTGATTTGTACTCTTCGATGACCTTGTGAACTGAGGCATCTCTCGTCTGTGTTGTACAGTAGATTCAGAAAAGCGAGTTACGTATTTCAGTGATGCATCATAAAGGTAGTATTCCTCGTCTTTTAAAAAAGTGACTTTAGACCATTTGGAATTCTTAAAATCCCACTGGACAAAGCTGCAGTTCTTCCATTCCATTTGGCAATTGTTATTTTTTCCAGCGATTTGGGGAAAGTATGGAAATCATTTTCATCATATTCTGGAGCACTTCTTGATAATGCAGATACAAGCGAATGCCGTCCATGTGTCTCAATTGACTAAACTCGTTTAATATTTTGCGCCCAACCCATTATTTCTTTATTTTTTGGCAGCATAACATAACATAATTTGGGAATAAGAGTTGTATCTTTTTCGAAAGTACACAAATTTGAAAAAGAATTATGAATATTTATATTTTCTTGGAAGGAGTGTTCGAATTTTGGAAAGAAGTATGAATATCTTGACTTTCCTGGATTGTGTGTGAATTTGAAAATTAAGTTTGTAAATTTTAATGTTTTTCTAGTCCGGTGTGCGAAAAAAATTGCTTGAAAGATAGTTAGACCAGGTATAGAGTTTTTATTAATGAAGGAATTTAGATCCGTGCAATTTTATGAAAAAATGGCAATAAGAATAATTATAATTCTAACTTGATTGTATTGGAGAATCAATGGTTTTGGCCTACGGGCTACGGTGACGTTGTACATTGCAGAAATCTTTTTAAATCGTATCAGCAAGAGTGAGTATTAAAGACATGTGGACTAGTGTTTTGCTGTTGAATGACAATTATGAGGGAACACAATTGTAGTCCGGATCGGTTTCCTTGGTAGAGACTTAATTCAGGTCATATGCGCATTCAAGATTCATGTTTCTGACTATGCTTGTAATCTAATGACGTGTAATTGCATGAAATCACGATTGGGCCTAATAAAAGCCTTTTGTAAAGAGGAAAATTAAGTTGGTAACAAGATCAGGAAAAGATGCCATTCTCTAGAAGGTGATTGATGCAATTTGCTTTGAACATTGATCCAACGATAAGAGGTTTTAAGAGTAGGATTACAGCATTTCATGCCGCTTTATCGAGACATTTAGTACTGCACCGCTGGAGAAATCACACGCTATTCACTAAAGGAACTCCTGTCTCTTTAACAGTATTTGGATAAAGAATGGAGTTGATTTTTGTGTTGCAAAAAATTTCCTTTGAGTCATAATTTAAAACTCTCAACTTCTATGTCATCACTCCTAACTCCTATATGATTGACTGTGTTGTGATTGTCAAAACACAATGAAGCTTCTCTCCAACACCTTTGGCACAATTATTTTTCCATCAATAAGAACATATTTGCATTTACCCCTTTTCACAAAAGGTGCTGGATTAGATTCCTCTTTTGTTCAGCCTTTTTTTATGAGGTTGACGTCAACGTTAATTTTTTCTTTGAGCCAAAAAATGTTGAGGGGAGGGGGCCATAGAGCTTTATCTGTATTGTATATAAAATGAACGTTTCAGTTATTTTCGTTTGCATGGCTCTTCCTTTCTTTACCTTTCCAGTTTTTCTAAGGTTAAATAATGTCCACCTGTTACTTGGATAGAAAAATCTTAAAAATAAAGAAATTAGAATTCAAAGTAGTAAAATTTGCCTGCATTTATGGAGTTTTCAATAATCAAGAGGGATATTGAGGTCACACATGAATGCAAATGTCAAAAAGTAATATCTATTCAATCAAAGATTTGATCCTGGCAGAACAGCGTTATAAGCGAAGGGGGTAATATGCGACTTTCTTTACATTGCTTGTCCCTTTAATGTCTAGGATCAGTGGCGCGGCCCCTATGTTAGAAACATCAATTCTGTGGTTATTTTTAAGCGACGTTGCATATGATTATCTAAATACAGACATGTTAAATTTGTGAAGACTAACCTTCTTTTCATGTGTGTCAATTGTCAAATACCTTTTTTCACTGCAATAGGCATGCCACACGCACCTCCACAAAATCATGGCTTTGAGGATAACAACAGACCACTTTCCTGTGTTTTTTTATCATTGGATAAAGTTCTTTATCGTTGGATGTAATTGTTATTGGATATCACATTTTCAATTTACTTGAGGCTAGGTCATTTGTGAAATCTTAGAGGAGAATTTTTACGTGTAATCGTCATCAAAATTAAGAAATCTTTTCTTTTAAAAGTTAATTCATCTACTGGGCTAATCTTAAGTTTTGCTGGTCAGAATTAATCTGTGAATATCCAGGGATAATAAAGTATTCTTCGCTTCCAGATTGGAAACCTTACGATGAGTAGAGACACAAAAACGAACAGAGGGAAGTATATGGAGACGCATATAATCATTACCCATACCATTATACTCGTGCGTTTTGCAGATAGAATTATAGCTTGCAGCGTAAGGTCGTTTTGCGTGTACATGAATCTTAATTTGGCTGTTGCGATTTTGATTTGGCTATGGGACAAATGAGCAATAGTTAGGAGAGATTTCAAGTTTTACAAGTCTATCTTTTCCCGAGGGGCAAATCACTCTAAGAAAATCTCTCGTACACCTTTTGTAAAAATCCTATTGTTTTATCTGAAAATCCATAGAAATCCTTTTGTTTTAGGCAAAATCTCGTACGTTATTTGCAAGAGTGAATCGCCCCTCGTCTTTTCCCTCGTTGAACAGCAGTATAGTTACTGTGTCTTTGAGGTATAACACTGGTGGTAGACGGTTTTTTACGAGTTCACGGCTCTATTTTTCAAAACTGCAGCTACTATTCGTAGCTACAAAGACGAAGCTGAAAATAATTACGAAATAACTCTAGCAGCCATTTCTTGAAATGTTGCTGGATGAATCTGATTAGCTTAACTGTCGTTATTTTCTGTCAACAGTTAACGTTCCTTGATACTTTTACAATCCTACACTGAATTACAAGAGCCTCCAAATTCGTGCTGGTGGCCTTTATAATTAAAAAATAATGTTTGCACTTTAAATATCAACCAATATGTTCACATAAAAGATTATTCAAGAGAGGTTACCTGATACACTTCTGAAAAATATCTCTACGTTTGCCATTTACAGTCTGCAATACTTAACGAGAAATAATCTTTTAAGTTATTTCTTACCAATACTTAATGCAAGTAAAATTTATCATGTAAGTAAAGGAATGAAATTGCTATCTTCTTCAGAAATCAAGTTCCAGCGCTGGAAGGCAACACTAATTTTGTCCAGGTAGGCCTTGATTCCAGCAACATAATTACACTACAATGCCACCGCTTTTGGCTGTCTTTCCTGTTCATTCCTAAAGATGTGGTTTATAAATCTTCGCCATGATTCAACGGTTTTTGTTCCCCAAACCCAAAAGCCAGTGGCTAGTCCAGTTACTAAGGTCATCAAATATTTAACTAAAAACACGTAATGCTTGGGCTTATCCTTTACCCGCACGCATGGGCAGTTCTTCGATTTCTCCCAGCTTTCTCTATTATTGTGTTCATAAAAGTGACAAAGGATGGTAATTGCAACAGGCACAAGAAAAAAAACTGCATATATTCCAATCTTTACAAGCATCCTGTCCATTTTTGGCGAACGCGCCCCTTTCTTTCTAAGTACATTACGGTTGATAAAAAGGGCTAGCAGGCCAGCAATGAGAAAGGAGCTGCCGATAGTCAAGAAAACGAGAAGAGGTGCTATGACGAAGATGGTTAGCATTGCGTTATCGTGATTGCCAACGAAGCACAAGCCAGATACGGGGTCACTGTCAATGCCAGCCATTGCTAGTATAGCCATGCTTTGCACGGTGGGAATAAACCACGACACAAAATGGTAATACTGAGAGTAAGAGGTTACTGCTTCGACACTCCATTTCATACCGGCCGACAGAAACCAGTTCAATGCCAAAATAACCCACCATATACAAGCGGCCATCCCAAAAAAGTAAGTCAGTAAAAACACTGTAGTGCAGTCAGCGGGGCCTGTGGCAGAGTACCTCAATAAATTTGTCGCAGGGTTACATGCAATTTTTTCAAATCCTCGTGCTAATCTTATAATGTACCCAACTGACACCATGAAAAAGCAAAATGAAATGAATATGACAGGGCGCTCAGGGTATTTAAATCGGTCTGTATCAATAAGAGCTGTAACACATGTAGCAGACGTTGATATCAAGCACAGAAAAGACCAGAGAGTGATCCAAAAGGTTGTTAGATTTTGTTGACTCCTGCTGAAAAAATACTCTTTGCATTGGAGAGCACAAGAAGGAACATCCGTGGGCCCGTCACCGATACTCCTGTTCACATAGACAAACGGTTTTTGGCACATGCAGCCACAAGTTTCAAACCTGTTTTGGTTCATTTTGCGACCTTTTTCGAAAAAGTTTCTTTTATCTTTCAAGCGAGTTTTTTTCAAAGTACGGTCAGGTTTATCAATTGTTTTTGCTTTCGTTATTTTAGGCTGGGATTTTATAATGAGTCTGGAACGATTTTTCTTGTCACCGCTTGTAGGGCGCTTCACTTTTTCTTTAACATTCCCAAAATCTTTCTCCATGCAAACAGTCAATCTCGAGTTTTCGGGAAATCTGTTACAATCAAGGTATTCAGGCCAACTCATTCCGTGTGTTTTGATCACCGGACTACATGCATCTCGAACCCTCTCGCAAAAACTTCGACAAGGTAGCAACTGCTTTCCGTAATTCTCTTCGCACACCGGTGCATGCGTCGCACAAATAAAAAGCTTGAGATCTGGCGAGCAGTTGATTCGAACCAGAGGCCAGAACTGATGGGCATGGAGCGCTGCATCCGTTTGTGTTGGATGCCCGAACATGTTAGGAACGTACGTCAAGTTGTATTCGATTTTTTGGCAAAGTGGGATTGTAATACGCTCACACTTCATCTGTTTCGATCCCGAGCCTTGTGCTGTGCAAATCCACGCTAATAAAACGAACAAATGGAAAATCAAAAGAAGCTTCATCTTTGAATGAAAATGTAAATAAACAGCCAGATGTCTGGTCTCCAACGCGATATCACTCGAAACAGCGAGGCAAATATTCGTTTATATAATCTCATAAGAAACTGCAGCAGCAGGGTATTGGGTTCTGTGGCTGTCGTCTTCGATCCCGTTTATCAACTGATTTCAGTCTCTTGACGAGATGAGTGAACAGGGTTAGGTCTTGTTTCGTCTGGCGCTGTCCAGCGATGGCGATGCGAACAAGGCTGTGAATAAGGCTGTGCGGCGGACAATTTTAGAACGTATCTGCTAATCTGGATTAGTCGACCTTGAGCAAAACACTCATAATCATTACACAAATATTATGTGCTATGCATGCATGAATAACATGATAAATTGGTAAATCCGCCCTTTGTTCTGCCAACTTAACGTAATTTGCAGACAGGACAATGTCTTTATGTGGCCTGCTTTACAACACAAAACTCCCAACAGAGTCATTCTGAATTAAACGCATTGTGATTGTGGCTTTAATCGAAACAATTGAAATATTGAAAATCAGCACGCCATTTTCACCTGTTTTTGCAAGTTAGGCTTTCAACTGCAACTAAAACTGTGAAAATATTGGTACATTTTAATTAACGACTTCCATCAAACATCTGCTTTAGTGTTTCACTTTTAAATCCTTGTCAACAGGCACGCTTAATTGGGCTCAGAAAGTGATAACTGGCGTCTTTTTATCATTAACCAATGATTTATTATACGCAATCGTTGCTTATAAACTCCCATTGCTATTATCAATACAGTCGTTAACATTTTCAATTACTGAAAATGGTCGAAATCAGCTCAATAAAAGAATGACGGTGCGAAGCAGGGCACAACCACTATCCAAATTTCACTCTGTCTTGTTTTCAATGGAACGGATGAATTATTTAAGGCCTGGCGACCCTCGCAGAAATCCAAGTTTATGAAATTGCCTCTAATGAATAATGCAGTGTTCAAAAGATTCAAATTCGCATATATGATTCGATTCCTTGCCACTGTGGTCACTCTTCATCCCACACAAACGCCCTTCGTCAATCTAATTTGCACTATTGTAAACAGGCGCAGAGAGGCTTCATGCTCTTAATAAATGATGATAAAACCCTGTCTGTGAATCTACAGCAAAAAGGACGAAGGCCTAGATTAACAACCTAGGGCTGCCTGGTCAGTCCAGTTGTCGAATTGACATGCATTACTTCTCAATTATTTGCTTTTTAAATTTCAATTTGCGGCATTTTCAGCAATTCACAGTAATTGATTTTTCGCGTTTCTTACTTGGCGCAAAGTTCCCTTATCAAGTCCCAGTGAGTTATGTTCCAGACAGGGTTCATTAAGGACTCTTGCTGTAGCTTATATTTGGATGTGTGGGTTGTTTATGTAAGACTTTATGAGCTTAAAGAGTTGGATTCATGATGTGCTATTGTCTTCACTTTTCCTAACTGCGGAAACTCGTGTAGCATGCAACTTCCCGGAGCCAGGGCGGAGCAATGTTTCTCTTCAAAATGATGGAAGATGTGGCTATATAAAGTCAGCCTAATTTTAATGGGGGTGATAAAACACGCCCAACAAGGCTGAATAGCATTCAATTCATTTCCTACGCAGATTTTCTTCTATCGGCATGAGGGATTTGCGGTGACTTTAGTTCCCCTTTGAAATTTTATGGCAACGGAAGAAATCAGGTCTCCAGTATTATCGCCGGCAGTTTGTTGCATCCACAAACCGAGATACAACTCTTTGCTTGGGGGGGGGGGCAGCCCTGATAAATAGCATTTTACAAAATGAAAGTATTTTATTTATACTACTTACTTTTGCTTCACATTTTGCGAAGCAAATAATTTCAAAGCTGCAATAAAAGGTGAAAGAAGCCTTGCCTCCACTTTCGTTAGCCTTTGACCCCCTCCCCCCACTTTCAAATTTGTGGCGTGAAGCTTCCTTTAGCCTGTGCCCAGCCTCTACCCTACAAAGCACTGGCCACGAAAACGAATCACTAAAATTTCGAGCATTAGCTGGATGAGGTTCGTACCCTATGGAATTTTTTAGTAGAAAATTTAAATAATCAAACCAATATCTGGACCTGCTTGAAATATTTCAAAGAATATTTGTTCAATGTTGAGTATTGGCTTACATGGCTTGGGCCAACTGAGGGGAAGCATTAAAGCTTTGAAAGGAGAGTGATTTGGGCCGTTGGACCCTCCTGAATAAGAGCTATATTGGAATTCTATTTATTTTTCGGTTTACGTGAGCAAATATAGTTCTTCGAAGACAATTCACATTTATTCCTAAATGCTTACGTGCGCATTTGTGGAGGAAATCTTGGCCTAATTTTAAACGTTTTTAGCCATTTCTGTAAAAAAGAGTCTCGTTTGAAGGCAATTATCAAACGGTTGTTTGGTTTTCAGGTTAACACTTTGGAAATAATGTAGCAAAGAGCTTCATTTGTACTGGAAAGAAAACAGGAGGGAAAATTTTTGCTATTTTGAAATCACAATGCACATGGTCATAGTTTTGAGTACTAAGCCAAGAAAATGGCCTAAACCTAAATCTTTCATGCAGGGGTGGCGCTAGAACTCAAACAATGATGTGCCGACAGTTATAGAAAAATTCAAGTGCCGACGACTTTAGAAATGGTTGCCGACATGAACTCCCATTCGCAGTTTCTTTAAATTTTAAAACGTTTTAAAAATTAACGAAAAACTGTATACTTACTTCAAACTAACAATTTCGTTGTATGTGCCTAGCTTGTAGGCCGTTACACCGTTTACTTTAGGCGAAGCAGGTTGGAGCCATTTATTGCTTAGTTTCTGTCAAAGACAGTATGATCTTGCTGTTATTAAAAAAAGATCGAGGAAAACGTCAAGGTCAAGCATCTAGGCCTATTTTAACTGAATATAAAGGAATTATCAGAAGAGACTTTCATGCGAGCGAAGCGAGCAGAAGAGTTTTGCTACTGCGTCCTTTAGTTTAAAATACATTCCAGAAAATTTCTTGGAACTGTCGGCTTTGAACTTCAGTTTAATGGTTCTTATAAAAGAAGTAAACTCTCACGCGACAGTTTCAAAGCGCCGACAGTGCTTTTTATTTTCTTTTATTGGGCTGCCGACGGGGTGTCATCTGCCCATGACACCCCATAGCGCCATCCCTGCTTTCATGTGAAACAGAGCCCTATTCCCGACTATAAATTGTTTGCTTTATTCAGTGATAAAAGATCAGATATAGGTCGGGCTTACTTTGAAAGTAACAGAAAGGTGGCAAGAACTCAAAATTTATCAATGGAAAAGCAACAAGAGAATGGAAGAGCAAAAAAGAATTATTTCATGAACAAAGAAGGAAAAAATGAGCAAATTTTGATAAATTTTTTAATGGAATAATTTTTGATTCCAAATTCCATAGTAATTATGCATTGTTTTTAAGATTTTTTGCGGACAGGCAAAAATATTAAATGATTGGTAAAGAGTGTTCATATTCTTTGTTCAATGGCTTTCATATTCGCTACTGAGCAGACGTTCGATTCACTTATGCATTTCTCCGTGAAATTGTGAAATTTTCTAGATATGGATAAGAAATTCATTTCTGCTTATGATGTTAATGAAAGTCAGGCGGTTTAAACGGCTTTCTTTTACCATTCTTTGCTGCATATTGGGAACTATATATATATATATGTAGATCAAGATAACATTTTTTCGAAACTCTATGTTTAGTTTTTTGAATGATAAGAGCTTCTGTATTTTGGGTATATTGAGTCAGCTGAGACCGGTCAACAACACAACCATTAGACGAAATATTTTCATTTTCATTTGAGACGGTAAATTCTTGGACATTCTCCCAAGCTAACACCATAAGCAATATGGACTCATTTACACTTGGTCTTAAAAAAATAGAAAGAAAAATACGTGCATTTAGAATGCCCTTCCACTTTTGGAACAGTGAAAGTGCGTGACCCAACGGATTTGTTGGTGTTGAGAAAGCTCAGTCGTGGCCAACGAGCCTTCCACTTTTTGACAATTTTGTCTGAATCCTCTGGTTCTCTTTATCCTTCTTTCAATGACATTTGTTTTCGTTGAATTTGTCACAGAGTGCTGTTTGTGTTTGGTAGTAATATTATTCTGAATTCCAGTATTGTTGAAATTGTCTACATGTTTTCTTTCACCTAAGAACGGGCTCTTTTAAAGGTTTTGGCCCACCTTAACAAAGTATGCATTCACCCAAAAGGGACATTCTTACCGAGCGCAATAGGAAAAACCGTGCACAGCCTCGCTCTTTTCACATACATTCTACAACTTAACAATCTTACTTCAGTTTGTTAGAATCGTGGACGAAGTTGATATATTGATCACCGTTTATAACCAACGGTGTTCTACCCTAAGTCCTAAATTAATACCATGGATTCACATGGAACATGATACTTTTTCTCTTCGAATGAAATGTCTCATAGGCGCTTTGACCCGCCATTTCAACCCGCTTTCGAAAAGCTCCTCATCTGAGTGTCATCACTCATCAATTTCTTATCCATATTGTGGTGAAAAATTCAAGGGTAATTAACTTGAATGCCTCCTTAAAATTGTCGAGACATTTCTATCAACTTTAATTCTTTGATTCAGGTTGAGAAGGCGTTTTGAAACTGTTTTCCTTGACCTTTTACAATGATGTTGTTTTCTTATAGCGTTATTCGTTTCGTGGTGGATAATGTATCAGATCAGACTGGAAGGGTGGTACGGGTTACCGCAAAACCTGTGTCCTCCCAACAACTTCGATTGTTAATTGTCGTTTCATTTTTTCAGTGGACCAAGAATAGCCTTGCTTTGGGGTTTAATTAGGCTGTTGTACCGCATTTCTATATAATCGTTTGCTTGAGAGCATGGGGTCAACCCTTGTTTTTTGGCGTCCTTTATTCAGTTTATCAACTAATTCATTGTTAGAATGGAAAGATATAGTGGAAGAAAGCATCTTTATCTATGATACAGGGCAGTGATTATTGTGGGGGTATTGTGAAAGCAGTGGATTTCAAGCTGAAATGTTGAAATGCAGTTCTTAATGCATTTTCTTTAGTCTCTTTTTCTGCTAACACGCGCTTGGATAATCAACGTGTTGAAATTTTGAGGTATGAATCCATCATCATTGCAAAAAGTTCATCATGCAATTCAATAACATAAACAGTTGACACGCGCTCTCTCGAACTTTTTAGCGTTTCTAAATAACGTATGTTCCATCAAAAACCGAAATTTTTATTCTTTAGGCTAGTTATAATATGCAAATGAAAGAAAAATTTTAGAATGGCAAATTTTATCAAAAGGCTCAATTACGCCAGATTCATTTGTTTCATCTCTAGACCACCTCTGTTAGTAGAAATATTGAAGTCAGGGGTCCGGAATACAGGCTATTGGAACCCAGCTCTCTTTTGGCATTTCTATAATCTTCTGCTGCTGGGCACATCATGTTAGTCAGAATTGTTCGCTTGCTATAGGCTCATCATTACATAAATAATGTTATGAGGACATTCAGCAGAAAAATCGTAAAGGTCGAGATCACGGACATTTTTCTCCAGGGGAAATAGAAACGGGCTAGAATCGGCGAATGTCTTTCCTATATAAACCCTCGCATTTAAACGGGAGACGAAATGAAAAAACCTTTGCGAAGGTGAAGTCACATTGCTGGTACCGGCATATAGGCTTTTTGCCAAGCTGCCTAAATTTTTGCCAAACTGATCGGCAGAAGGGCAGTCCTTTTAGGCCGGCTCCCACAGCCCAAGCCGGGTTTCCACTTTGGTGATTCGGCGATCGCGCGGCTACGGTTCTTTGCATGCGCAACCCAGTGGCAGTGATCCCCCATTCCAATGGCGATCGACTGCTTTTGGGAGTTGAATAGATTTTATCTTTTCTGCGACCAGATTCTCAAGAACCAATGAGATGTTTTGGTCTTATCTGGTTTACGTTAAATGCCTCATTACCCTGTCTTGTTTTCTTTTGCGCTTATCCAAAAAATCAACTCCACGCTCTGCTACTTTGAGAAAAAGTTTTACCGGATCAATTGGCTCTCTTCTGAGAGAAAACTTTGTTATTTTGGGGCAACATACTTAAAAAGTTCCTCAAGACGATCAGGACTCATTCTAAAATGTTGCAAGAAAAAATGTTGTAAAAACCTGGAGCGTTGAACGAAATCCCATTACAAAGAAGAATGAGCTCCACGATTACCACGTTCAAAAAGAAGTTAAAGGAATTCTTGCAAAATGAGCATCCTTTCCCGAAGCATGATCCCTAGGAAGACCAGCATTATATGTAAATTAATCTTTACTTTTTTTCTTTTTGTTTTGGGCCTACTAGCTGATAGGGTTTCTGTGTTTGAATATGATAAATTATAATGATAAATTATAATGATAATAATTCCTTGTCGAAAAGTTTCATTTCTCTAACAAG